AATATTATGAGACTAGTACCACCTTGGTATCAAACCCTGACAAATTTAGTATGAGAAAAGAAAATGGTCCAAACTCATTCATGATTATATATACAAAAATCTTGAAACAAGTATTAATGAACTGAATCTAGCTAATATAAAGAATAATATATCATGGCTAAATTTAGTTTATGTCAGGAATACAAGATTTAACTTTAGAAAATAAGAATATGAAAATGAATATATGTATATTCATGAATGACTGAAGCATTGTGCTGTACACTAAAATTGACACAACATTGTAAACTGATTATACTTCAATTAAAAAAAAGGAAAAAAGAAATTTAATATCAGACTAATAAAATAAAGTTTTAATGAGAACAAAAGTCAATTCTATACTAATGAAGTAAAAGAATAGTGGAATAAAGAGTAAAATTAATTCCATATCAGTATAATAAAATATAAAAATCCTGTAATCATCTCAATAGATGGAGAAAAAGAGATTGATTAAATTCAGTATTTGTTACTGATAAAAGCTCATAGCAAACTAGAACTAGAAAGAATTTCCTTAATATTTAAAGGATATCTGTAGAAAACCTTTGAAATTAGGAACAATTACTGTTTTTATTCAACATTGTACTATGGGTCCTAGCCAGCACTGTAAGAGAGAAAAATAAATAAATATATAACAGAAAGGAAGAAATAAACCTTCACTATTCACAGAACTATGTAATATTGGGTCTAGAGCTATCCAGAAGGATCTACAGATAAATTTTGTAAACTGATAAAAAGATTCACCAAAGATGCCAGGTACAAAGTCAGTATATTAAAATCAGTTTTATTTCTGTGAGTAACTAATGGTTAAATATGTATCATGTATAAAATAATAAAGACCTGGGAATAAATCAAGTAAATACGGTCTTTTTTCCCCAAATGATATTTGATTCAGTGCAATCTCAGTAAAAATTCAAACAAGTATTTTATGAGATATAACAAGCTCATTCTGAAACTTACAAAGAAATGCAAAAGGCCTGGAACGCCAAGACACCTTGAAGAACTTCAAAGAGGAAGGCATCTCTCTTCTACTAGTAGTAATGTAGGAGTACAACACTCTAGTAGTTTTCAAGAATTATTATTATTTATTTATTGAAGTGTAGTCAGTTTGCAATGTCAAGAATTATTATAAAGGTATAATAATTAAGATTGTGTAATATAGACTTAAGGACAGACAAGTAGTGCAATGGATTAAATTAGAGAGCTCCCAAACAGGCTGTGATATATGACAGAGATGTTACAGGGAAATAGTTGGGGTAAGGGGAAGATGATCTTTTCAATAACTGTCACAGGATTAATAGGATATCCCTGTAGGAAGAAATGAAATTGGTCTCCTACTTCATGTCATACTAGAAAATAAATTCTGAGGAGGTTAAATGTGATGGTTAGACTATAAAACTTTTAGAAGAGAGTATCTTTATGACCTTGGAGTAGGGAAGGATTTCTTTTGAAACTGTAAAAACCATTAACCATAAAGAAAAGGATTAATAAAATTTTTTGCTCTATTAAAATTAAAGACTTTCTTCAGAAGACACCACAAAGACTCTGAAACTTCAAATTACAGAATTGGAGAAGGTACTTGTAACATAGCTGACAACATTCTCATATTCAGAATTTATAAGGACCTCCAACAAACCAAAAGACTTGAGTAGGTACTACACAGAAAAGGAAATCTAGATGGCCAATAAACATATGAAAAGCTATTGTACCTCATTAATAATCAGGGAAGTTAAAATTAAAATCACAATGAAATGCCACTATAAAAAATCTTTAAAACATAGTAGACATATTAAAACATCTCAGCAACAAGTATTAGCAAGGATATGAGGCCACAAAAACTCCTTGTACATTGCTGGTGGATATGTAAATTGGTACCATCTTTTTGGGAAACAGTTTAGCATTCTCTCTTGAAGTTGAAGATGCATGTATCTTATTACACAGCATTTTCACTCCTAGATCAGTGCACAGTCAAAATGTTCATCAGAAGTAGAATAAATGAATAAATTATAGCACGTTAATGTAGTAGAATACTGTGAAGGCATATGAAGAATAGTATGAAAGAACTACTGCAGTATGCAGCTACATGAATGAAACTCAAATGTTGAATGAAGTTCACAAAAGAATACACACCTAAAGCATGCATCTACTTTTAGAAAGTTCAGAGGAATGGTAGACAAAATTATGGCCCCCTAAAGATGTCTACATCCTAATCCCTATAATCTATGAATATGTTAGACCTACATGGCAAAGGGGAGTTCAGGTTGCTAATCAGCTGACCTTCAAATAGGGAGATTATCCTGCATTATCTGGGGAGATGGGGGAGATGGTAAAAGTCACTTGATCCTTAAAAGTGAAGAAGAAGGCAGAAGAGGGAGAACCACAGAGATGGCAGCATCAGAAAGACTCCGTCTGATATTGATGACTTGATGGTAGAGGAATGGGGCTATGAGCCAAGGAATGTGGGCAGTTTTGTAGAAGCTGGGAAAGAGGAGGAAACAGATTCTCCCCTAGAAGCTCCAGAAAGAATGAAGCTCTGCCAGCACATCTTGCTTTTAGCCCAGTGAGACCCATTTCTGACTTCTGACCTTTCCAGAACTGTAAAATAATAAAAATTTGTTGTTTTAAGCCACTGGGTTTGTGGTAATTTGTTACAGCAGCAATAGGAAACTAGTACAGGAGGCAAAACAGAGATTTTATAAAGGGTTAGAACTATAAAACTATAGAAGACATGATTAACACTAAAAATCAGTATATTGGTTCCTGTTTTGGAGAGGGAAGGGGTTATGATTAGGAAGAGCTACCTTGGGGCTTCTAGGAGACTTGGCAGTACTTTATTTCTTTGAATACATATGTTTTATGTAGTCTTCTGCATGTATGAAGTTAAGATGCATTGTTTTATACTCAAAAAAGGAGTTTTTAAAATAAAACATCCATACTTTTTTAACTGAAGTTTTTTTTCAGTTTTTTTCCCTCTTTTATGACATTTCTTTGGCTGTAAAATTATTTCTTCGAGGGAATATGGCAAAAAATACCCTTTATAAACTAGTAGTAAACTAGGTGCTCTGTTTTCCATAATATAGAGCTGTGACACAACTGACTAATTCAGTCTCTTTCATGAATTTATAGCATGTAAAAGTTACTCAATTAACAGAAGGAAGAAACTACTTGTCTTGCCAAATTGGAATCAAAATATAATTTAAATGGAAGAACTTATAAGAACCTTTATTCAGAAACTCTGGTTTCAAAAGCAGACAGATGTTTTAAATTGGCTAATTATTTGAAAATTAAGGATTACTTATTTATTGAGATGTATCTAAGCTTAGTGTATATTTTGCTGTCTTTTTTTCCCCCTCGTCAGTATGGGGACAAAAAAAAGATGAAAGTTATCTTTTTCATTTTCTGGATTTAAAGTAACTTAGCTTTATAATACAGATATTAGGCAAACTGACTTTAAACAGTCCATGCTGAAATTTAATTTGTTTGTTAATTGCCTGAAGTTGTCATTTGTGGGGATAAATGTATATAAGCAGCAGTTTATAATTTAAGTTAATCCCTTTTATTTCTTCAAACTATGGATAAAATAGAGGAGAATTTCTTGGGTTTGAAGAAAGATTGAAAGAATCCACTGAGTTCCAGACCAGAGTGTTAATTTAAGGGTGGAAGAGACACAAAGAACAAGCTGCTTACAAAGGAAAAATAATCATATATGTGCTGGACTGTTCAGTGTGACACTGTAAACTAAAAAGTAGTAAAGTAACATCTACAGATGGCTAAGAAAAAAACTGCCTATACCTAGCCAAAGTATCATTCACTTGTGTAAAAGCAACATACTTGAGATATGTAGGAATTCACATACTCCATCTAGGGAAAGTTCTCAGAAAGGATTCTCATGAAATAACAGAAATTTTAAGGGGCAGAAGAAGAGAGAAAACAGTGGTGAGTAAATGAATCTGATAGTGTATTTAATTAAATGTAAATGGATACTGATAGAGTGACTGTATTTCAACATATTCTTTTGTTTTCTGCATTTCCTGAAAGTTTGCAGGTAATCAAAAGCTTGATTAAACTCAGGTTCTGTCCCTTTGGCAAGACTATAAATGATGTTCTGTTATTCCAGTAGGGAGGCATATACTTTCTGATTGTCTTTTTGTAAAAATAATAGGCATTAATACTAAATTCTAGACCCATTAATTCATTGAGGGTTGCAAAATGGTGATATTCTATCATTATTTTTCATTTATAGCTAGAGCACTTATTTAGCAATGCTTCCTTTCATCTGTTTGGCTACTCATGGATAGAGTTCATATAAAGAAGGCAAGGTAGATGTTAGATTTATTTCCCCTTTATCTGTTTATAATGAATTGATTCTCTGTCGTCTTTTGGAGGGGGTCATTATAAACTCATATAATTGACTAATATGTGATAGTTTCAACCCTTTGCAATTATTATCTTTATTGAAGGTCAGATTGTCTCATCTTTAGCCAGTGGGAGCAAAGATGGTTCCTGAGTCCCTTTGACATGTCCCTGATACTTTGTAACTGGTAAAGAAAGGGAGAGTATTTTTTGTTTTGTTTTGCTTCACTTTTCTGAAAGCCTTAGAATGTTGTCTGTGCTTTTGGGAAGGTGGATTTTAGGGGTCCATTTGTTTTCTAGACTGGTACTTAGCATGATCTGTGATATAATTTGTAGGCAGATATGCCTTAGAATTTGTGTTACTTGCAAAGAATAATGATATCATTTTTAGTATATGTGGAGACTGGAAAGGAACCAACGTTTCCCAGCAACAGGTGTAGAAGCATATGTTAAAATGGTTTATTCAGTCAGTTAATACTTGATCGTTTACTCTGGACCAATTTCCAGAATAGGAACTCTCAGAAATTCAATTATGGAACCTGCTTTTTCATGTAACATTTCAGTAAACTAAGTTCTAGGAACTGATTTTAGACTTAATTAATTTTTTCTTTCAGATCTATCACGAAATCGCCTCTCAGAAATTCCCATAGAAGCATGTCACTTCGTGTCTCTTGAGAATCTCAATTTATACCAGAATTGTATTCGGTATATACCAGAGGCAATTCTAAACCTGCAAGCTCTAACATTCTTAAATATTAGGTAAGGATGTTGTTTCTTTCTCTTTTTTTAATTTTTAAGAATGTTTTAGTTTTATGTGCTATTTTCAATTTCCCTCTTCCTTTTCACTAAGATTTACATTATCTGTTTATATCAGCAGTTATCTCTATATGTTCTTAGGCTAAATTAGCAGTATTTTATATATCCTTCTAACTTCTCACTTTGTTTTTGTCTTTGCAGTAATTAACAAATTCTAAGAGCCATTAGCTTAACAGCCTTGTAGCAGTCTTGTAGCAGTGGTTCTCCGATTACATTTTCAAATAAGCTTCATCAAATGAGAATAGTAGATCTGAAATTCCTTTGTTTCGTTTTGTGATTGTATGTTTTTGTGTACTAAGTTCTGAATGTATAAATGCATTTATTCAACTCATCTACTCCATGTTTTCACATCTTACAAGAATTCTTTTGTTATTTTATTTCATTATAAAAGTTATAAATATTGATTAGAGAAAATAAACAAATGTAGAAAAGTAGAGGAAATTCATTAAAATGTTGTGTCTGAAGTTGTATAGTTGTATAGATGAACTTTACCTTTTTTTCCAGGCAGTTAGTCAAATTTTTAAATGTTTTCCCCTTGTCATGAAATAGCCTTTGGAAATATTTTCATATATAACTATTTTAATGTACAGATTGTATATTTCTAAAATTCATTTTCCCTCTCGAATATTTAGTTATTATTTCAGCTTTTTCTCATGATAAAAGTAGTTCTAGTAGAGAGTTTTGTGTGTAAATGTCTAGGAGTAGAATTATTACTATATGAAATTTTTTTAAGGCTCATGATCTATGTTAGTGAAATCATCAAAAGATCTTGAAAATGGAAGCAATTGGTCCTAAGGGTTAAGGGATTAACTCTGCATAAGTAAAATTTTAACTTACTCTTATCCTAATGAGAGCTGTTTTTTACTTTTAGTTCTGATTTGTATATTTTTATTGTATATAATAAAAGATTCATTACCTATACTTCATATGATATATTTGAAATCACAACCTGTCATTTTTTTCCATAGAACTGTATTGGGGTCATTTATTTACATTTGGCTATAATACTGCAATGATGAAGGAAGTAGATTGTACTTTATGTTTATAATTCTTCAGAATGAAGAGGAGAGAGGAGAGGATGTTCGTTATCTACCCTATCTTAAAATAATTTTTTCCTATTTAAATTTAATTTTAATAAAATAACAATATGTTGTGTTTATATGACACTTCATTATTTACAAAGAAGTTTTATGGTGTAAGAGCCCTGTGAGTCCCGTAATTTACAGATGAGGAATCTGTGTGAGATGCAACTAAGTTAAATGCTGCCCCTAAAACCACAAAGCTGACAAGTGAGGAAATGAAGGCTAGAATGCATATCTAATATTCTGTTTGTTCCTTGCAAGACTTAACATTTGTTATTTTTACTGAGTACAGAATGAGAAGATGGCAATTTTTTTTCCTTGAATGGTGAGCTCTGACTGTTCTCTTTCTCTGCTTACCCATTTATAGTCGGAACCAACTGTCAACATTGCCAGTACACTTATGTAATTTACCATTGAAAGTCTTAATAGCTAGTAATAACAAATTGGTCTCACTTCCAGAAGAAATTGGACATCTCAAACATTTAACAGAACTTGTAAGTTAATATTTCTTTTTTTATTGCCCCATACGTGTATATATTTCCACATACTCTTATGTGGTAAGGACCTGTTATTAGGGTGTGTTTTGAGCTATTTTCAGGTATTGATGATGAAGTTTTACTGACTGATCAGCATTCAAGTGCTTCAACACAGAATTAAGAAAGAGTTGAAATTCTAATAGGCTCACATGGAATGGGAAAAGGTCCTTAGAATTAGGTTCTAACCAATATTAATTGATTTCTATGTTATTAAACTTTTGAGACAAAAGTTAATAATGTGTTTGAATTTTTCAAATTAAATATTGTTAATAGCATTAATATTCTGATTTTTGGCTAGTCCGTATAGGGAGTGGACAGTACAAAGTTCAGATGTTTTTTTTTTTGCCTTACATGCTATATTTAGAACATATTTCCCACTCTAAAGTAAGCTATTCTTAACTGCTTTATATTTCTAAAAAGCTTAACCTTCATCTCCACTTCTTGTTACCCTTACATGCTTAAGTTCTGGGCATAGGAATAAAACTTTTTTTTATTAAATCACCACATTAACATTATTAATTGGGTACTATAATCATCATATTACAGCTAAGGGAATAGCATTCAGAAAGGTTAAGTAATTTTCCCAAGGTTCCATAACCAAAGTAGAATTTGAAACCAGTCTACTTTAACTCCAAAGCCCATGTTTCATATTTCTGAAATGGTCAAATATAATTATGTCGATTGAGATTTGGGAGTACAGTTCTTTGTAGGTTTATTAACAAAGATAGATATCATAAACAAAAAATAAATACAGTTGGCCCTCTGTATCATAGATTCCGTGTCTGGAACTGGAACTGGAACCAACTGTGAATCAAAAATATTTTTTAAAAAATTCCAGAAATTTCCAAAGAGCAAAATTTGAATTTTCTCTGCATGGCAACTATTTACATAGTGTTTACATCGTGTTAGGTATTTTAAGTCATCTAGAGATGACTTAAAGCATACAGGAAGATGTGTACAGGTTATATGCAAATACCACAGCATTTTATGTGAGACTTGAACATCCATGGATTTTGGTGTTCTCGGAGTCCTGGTACCAACAATCCCTTGCAGATACTGAGAGATGACTGGCTGTACGCATATAGTCTAATTGGACCACTTGTTAGCTCACTTTTTTTTTTAGATGAATTATGAATATAAAAGGTCATCTATAAGAATTCACAAATATATTAAATATGGAGTCTAGATACTAGACCACTGTTTAAACTTTCTGTTTCTACTTACTGAATCCTAAATACTGAAAAGAGATATGTTTCACAAGATATGTTTCACAGAAGATGAGTTTAGTTTTCTACAAAAGTGGTGAACTGACATCTTTGATCATACAAACAGTATGTGGCAGAGTAAAAATTAATAATCCTGATGCTTCTGATTCCCACTTGACGGTCTTTCTTCAGCTTCCTTATTGCTTTTTTCCCTTTTTTTTTTTTCAGTGAAAGTGAACTGCTGTCTTTCAACATAACACATTTTCTCAGGGAAATATTATAGATTGCTATTCCATTCTGGCTCAGGCTTAATTTTCCTATCCTTTCAACTTCTTTTAGAATCTTTTTAACTTTGATACCTAGAGCATTGGACTAAGAAGTCTAGCTTCTGATTCTACTTCAGTCATTAGTGGATAGGAAAGGTAAACATAGTTGTTTTTTTTTCCCTAAGAATATTTTGGGAAAATTTAAAAATAATATCTGAAGCTTATTGAAGTTTTTGATAAGTGGTCTTTTCCAGTAGTAAGTCTCAATATTTTCTTTTTATTCATATATTACAGGAATTTTAAGTGTTACTGAGGCATCTTAGAGATTTTATTAACGTGGGCTGCTCCCTTTTGCTATGCATGGGTTTATAAATTCTTCTGGCTTGTCTCAGAATTACGGAATTCTGAATTTACCAAATTTGGAACCTATAGTCAGTCTCTTTTTAGAACCAGTGGAATAAAGCTATTTATCAAGATTCCAGAAGGCCATCCTAATATATGTATTGGAATTAGGTTGAGCTGATGCTAATAAAGCAGTATCTATTTTTTCTATAGCCTTTGAGTTATGTGTACTTTATTTTTTTTTCCTCACATTCAGTTTGATAAAGAATGATTGGAGTCATCTTCAATGCATTTTTATTCTATATTCTTGAACAGTTGAACTGATACTCTGAAAATAGAATTTTCTTTCAAATAATTTTATTGTAATTTTTATCATTGTTTTGGTTTTTTTCTTCTAGTTTCTTTAAAACAATATGAAATAAAAATATTCTAAATCTGTTTTTATTACTTTTTTTACCTTTTCACCAACATGTTCATTTGATGTGATATTCTAGGCCTCCTACTCACATCTTAAGTCATTTAATTTCAGTTCTGCTCTCAAAATTAATATAGATCTATATAAAATGTATAAAGTTGGTCAAAAGCCGGTATGTTTTGAAAATTAAATGCTAATACAAACTATGAGATTATTCTTGGACACAGAATCATAATACTTTTTTACAGGTAGGAAGGACCATAGGTATCTTGTCCAGCCTCATTTCCACAGATAGTTTGAAGTAGTCAAGTGTGTAATATTAGTACAGTTCTTTACTTTGTATCTTTTTGATATAGGATGTGAGCTGCAATGAAATTCAAACAATACCTTCCCAAATTGGTAATTTGGAGGCCTTGAGAGACCTCAATGTAAGAAGAAATCACTTAGTACGCTTGCCTGAAGGTAAGAAATTGTGAAATACTTGTTTTATTATTATTTGCCTTTTTGTATTAAAGATCTCTCAGACTGATGAGCATAAGACAAAATGTATGAAAGTTACAGCCAATGTTTGAGATGTAATGGCTTATTATTATGTTTTCCATTGTGGATTTAAAAACTAGACTCTTTAGTGAGAAACTCTAGTAACTATTGAACAGTGATTGTGTTTTTAGTTCTTGTTAACTGATGTAATCGATAATTCAGGGTAGGGTCACTGGAAGTTTCAGTAGACATAACTATTTGGGAGAAATACAGCATGTTTTTGATAAGGGGTTAGTTTTGTATGATGAAAACATTCCTGCAGTTAGCACTGATTGACTTAAAAGTGGACTTGATTTGAACTTAATAACTTTATCCTTCACTGGAAATACTCAGATAGAGGCTATTTAACTGTGTAGAGGTGATATGTAAAGTGAATTATGAATGGAGTGAGAGACTGTACTGGGAGACTGGTTATCTTAAGCTGACTATAAGCTCTGGAATATGTATTTGAATGATAAACATGATTCATAAGTATAATTTATCAATCTTTTGGAAATACAAATTCATGAAAGGAAAACCTATAAAAGGAAATGAAAATGATGAAAATCATTATTTTATTAGATTATATATTTCTATAACTTTTAAATGTAAACTTTCATAGCTAACTGAGAGCAGTGAATCACCCAGCCACAATAGTCATCAGTTCATGGAAAGCCTTGTTTCATCTATACTCCCATTCACTTTCTCTTACTCTGTCCTCTAGATTAACAGTTTCCAGAAATTCATCTGTAAACATTTCAGAGTGTCTGTCTCAAAGATAAGGAATCTTGAAAAGATGTTTTCATGACAATAATTGTCTAGGTTCTTCTATAAACATGACTTCTAGTGTATAATAAATGTTGAATTAACTAATGATGCTTTTGCTTCACTGTAAAATCCAAATGTTTACACCAGTTTGATATGGTGTAGTATTTAGTCCTAACATAATTAGTGTATGTAGCTTTGACATTTTTTGATCACAAGTAGGCATCTGAAGGAGTGAAGTGACTCTTCCAGTCCACTTTCATGTACTTACTCCACCCATACTACCCCAAATCCTGCATATCTTTCCTCTTACTAGGCTTGTCCAGTAACCTTTTTACCTTTTATCCTAAGAGCCTTCCTTATTTACTCCTGGTTCTGCCTTCTACCATCTCAGGAAAGGGAATGAGGCCATCAGCAGAACTGACCAAAGTCACGACATAGGACCTTATAACTCAAAAATCTCTATCAGGATTGCCTGGTCTACTCAGGACCTACCTACTGTGGTTGATCTTTAAAGGTTTACTAATGTAATGTTACTGACTTAATACAAAATTAATTAATGAAAATACTGGGGTTTTGCTGAAAAGGAAAATCTAGGGTTTCAGATGATGATTGCAGTCTAATAGTTTTATCATCTAATTTATTTCTATATCTTACTTAGAATGCATATTACCAAGAAAATTGTCACACAGATAGTTTCAAGTGTTTTTTTTCTTGACTTATCTTGTAATCTCAGCATATTCAGTTAAATTGAGATGGCAGGAAAGCTTTATCCAGCAGCTACACAAATTAGTATGAAAGTTCATGTTAATTAGTGGTCTCTAATACATTACAGTTTGGTAGATAAATATATGATGTCTTTTGTTGTGTTGCCATTTTGATTTTAAATTTTTATTTTTCTGAAATACATTATTCAAAAAGTCAAATAATAATAAAAAGCTTAAAGTACATAATAGCATTCCCCTGCCTCACCCATTCCCCGTCCCCAGTTTCAGTGGCCAATAGCATATACCTTCAACTTCTTTGACTCTTTCCACTGGTATTTACAGACATATTTCTAAATGATGTATTGGATTTATCAACTGTTCATCTTGTTTTTGTTGTTGTTTTTCTAGAGTTAATAATTCCTCCCTTTTTAAAATATTTACTTGGTTTTTGTACCAGTGGCTACTTCCTCCCTCTTTTCCCAGCAGCCTTATTAGTCAAACCAGATTACTTTCTATCATTTTTTTACCCCTGAATAGCTCCCTCATTGAGTCTTTTTTCCTTCTCTTCCAGTCTGGACTGGTTGTTCTCTGTTATTGCAGCCTAGCCTGCTTTCTTCTGTGCTAAATACTCTTATTCCTGGATTTCATGTCTTCTTCTTTCTTACTTTTTAAAAAACTTTCAGTTATTGAGGTATAACTGACAAATAATTCTTCTTTCTTACTTTACTTCCTTGTTTTGCTGGAGGGCATTTTCTATGGTTTCCTAAGAACATGTTATAGGAAAACATTTCCTGAGACTTCACTTACAAAGAAGTATCTCTGTTCTGTGCTCACCCTTGATTAATAATTTGGTTATAGATTCTAGGTTGAAAATGATTTTTTCTCTTAGGATTTTCAAGTGTTTTTTCACTTTTAGCTCTTTATTTTAAAAATTAATGGTTGAAAATTTGATGCCACTCCTAATTCTAGTCCACTGTTTGTGACCAATTTTTTTTCTCTCTGGAAGATTTTAAGATCCTTCCTTTTTTTTACCACTCTGCAGTTTATGATGATGTGCCATAATATTAGTTGTTTTTGTTTTATCAAACATCTTTTTAGAGGGGAGGAGGTAATTAGGTTTACTTATTTATTTGTTTTTTGATGGAGGTATTGGGGATTGAACCCAGAACCTTGTGCTTGCTAAGCATGCACTCTACCACTTGAGCTATACCCTCCCCTCCTGAGTTGTTTTAATTCAATATGCTATATACTTGATGGGTTTATTTCTAAACCAGAGAATCACATCCTTCATTCTGCAAAATTGTCTTATATCTCATTTTGATAATTTCCTGTGTTCTTATTTCTGTTTTCTCTTTATAATTTTTATAAATTGGTTATTGAACCTCTTTAATTGACCCTGTGGTTTTCTTATTTATTTATTGTTCATTTCTTTGTCATTTTGTTTTACCGGGTGGTAAACAGTTCCAACTGTTTATATTCTAACCATTCTTCTGAATTTTTAATTTCCACCATCATATTTTTCATGTATAAGAAACCTTTGTTTTTCTCTTTTTTAAAAAAAAATTCCTTCCTTGTTTCAGTAATTTAGAATCTTATCTCTCTGAAATTAGAGACAACAATTCTAGTTTTTCAAAGTTTCCCTATGTATTGCCTGTGTTTTGAGTTCTTTTTTTGATTGGTTTGTGGGTTTTGATTTCTGTTTTACATGTTGGAGGCTTTTCTAAATGCCCGTGGGTTGTATACTGTCTGTTTAGAGCTGATTAGATGTTCTAAGAATACTGGGGAGGAATTGTATCATGGTAATTAAACAGCAAGCTAGGTATTTTATTAGGGGAAACTCCATATCAGTATCTAAAGGCCTTCTATATGGGGCTGTGTAGTTTCTCCAAAGAAAGGTGTTTTCTTTCTTCTACATTGCTGTACATATGCCTTACTACGGCCATTTTAGAATTGGGAGTAGGGTAAGGCTGGGTAGGAAGTGCTAAGGTCTTGCCATTGTGCATAGACTTTGACTTAAAGCCTCCTCTTTCAGTAATCCTGTCTTTCCATTGTGCCTGGTCCCTGAATTCAGAGCCTTTCAATTCAATTTCACTAGAGGATAACTTGTTGACTCCTGTGGTGACCGGAGATGGATAACGTCCTAGCTGCATGAGTTGGGATTGGAGACCTGGGCATCTAACTTGTCCTTTATATACATTATCATCTAATCTTTTTGTTACTCCCACCTTTCTGTGGTATCAGGCCTAGTTTCTGAGACCTTCTATTCTATAAGGGGTCAGGTAATTTGCTTCTTGATAGTATTCCTGTCTGTAAGCACCTAGGTTTCATTTTACGCCACTTTGCTGTATCAGTTCATCACTAAGAAAGAATGGAAGTAAATACTTATGTTAAATCCATTGTGTTTAGCTAGAAGCTCCTGTGAAAATTGTCTAGTTTTGAAATGTCATTAATTGTTCATTTCCATCTCATCGCCCTGCAGAGCTAGCAGAGTTGCCTTTGATACGGTTAGACTTTTCCTGCAATAAAATTACAACAATTCCTGTTTGTTACCGGAATCTCAGGCACCTACAGATGATCATCCTAGATAATAATCCACTACAGTCTCCTCCTGCACAGGTAAACCATAGTTTATTTGAATATGTTATGCACTTTTTCGACAAAGGATGAAGTTTAAAACTTAAGTTATATTCATCTATCTTTTTATTAGAAATTAAGTTCTTTTAAAATAAATTCATGTAAATTGGTGCAGCCATTATGGAAAACAGTATGGAGATTTATTAGAAAACTAAGAATAGACTTACCATATGATCCAGCAATCCCACTTCTGGGCATATATCCAGAGGGAACTCTAATTCGAAAAGATACAGGCACCCCAGGGTTCATAGCAGCAATGTTTTCAATAGCCAAGACATGAAAACAACCTAAATGTCCATCAACAGATGACTGGGTAAAGAAGTTGTGCTATATTTATGCAATAGAATACTACTCAACCATAAAGAATAATAAAATAGTGCCATTTGCTGCAACATGGATGGACCTGGAGATTGTCATTGTAAGTGAAGAAAGCCAGAAAGAGAAAGAAAAATACCATATGATATCACTTATATGTGAAATCTAAAAAAAAGACACAAATGAACTTATTTACAAAACAGAAACAGATTCACTGACAAAGAAAACAAACTTAACAGGTACCAGAGTGGAAAGGGAATGTAAAGGGATAAATTGGGAGTTCGAGATTGGCAGATGCTAACTACTATAAATAAAATAGATAAACAAGTTTATACTGTATAGCACAGGGAAATATATTCAATATCTTGTAGTGACCTATAATGAAAAAGAGTATGAAAAGGAATACATGTATGTACATGTACACCAGAAATTGACACAACATTGTAAACTGACTATACTTCATAAAAAAAAAAGAAATTGGCAAATAGTGAAAAAAAAAAATGAAATCAGTAAATTCATACCCGAACGTATTCTTTGGAAGCCTTGAATAAATTGGATGGAAGATAGGTAATGTTTTCAACAATGTTTTTCCTTTTACTAAGTTGACTTTTTAAAAATTTGAATTATTCTTCCTTAAATTTTTTTTCTAATAAAATTTGAGTTATTTCTTTCTACTAAACTTTAAACGTAGACAATGTAAATGCTAAAGACAAATAAAAATACTCAACTTCCAGACTAAAGATATCCATTCATTTCCTTTGACCATTGTTTTTTACCTTCCTATTTTCTAAAATCTGAAGTTCCTCATTTAGTCAGTTTTGTCCTTTGTTTGTCAGTGACTAAAATGAAACTATTTAATAATAAAGTTATTATGAGTTACCTTAACATGTAGATTCTAGACATTTTCAATCTAAAATGTTTTTACTGGCCCATATTTTTCACTGGCTTTTCTTACTCTGCAATTGATTGATGGTCTTGTATAAGTGTCTTTATGGCAACTGTAAAACTTTGAGTAAACTTCATAATTATAGAAAGGTCTCATAATCCTAAAGAATTTATGTATTGACTTGTGGGACAGAAGTCAGTAGGTAGCAACAGAAGTATATATAACTTTAATACTTAATCATTTCCTGCTTTTCTCTCTTACAGGAAGTAGAATTGAAAACATAATTGTGCATGATTGTTGGATTCCTAAAAACAAAAGTTGCCAATACAATCCATGGGGAGCAATGCTTTAAATCCCTGACTATGCCTAACTAATTAGTATAAGTTTACTTGGTATTCTAAGTGTTTGTAATCATAAGTTATTTGTTTTATATGTTACTGAAACTTAATAGTGACTAGAAAACACAAACCTATATTTATAGCACTTAAGCACCTAAAATAACAAATGATATAATTTGTTATAATGGGTAGATGTTTAGTATTACTGTATATACTTGATAGAAATGCCTTCTGTTTCCAATATACATTAAGTAAAAAGCTGACTGTGATTAAAAGGGAAGGGGGACACATATATTTCAGATGAGTAAATAATTTGGTTATATTTATGTGTTACTTTATTTAGATATGTATAAAAGGCAAAATCCACATATTTAAATACCTGAACATCCAGGCTTGTAAGATTGCTCCAGATCTGCCAGATTATGATAGGAGACCCATAGGATTTGGCTCCTGGTGAGTATGTTATATTCTTTTATTTGTCATATTCTATTTTATGGAGAATCAGATAAACTGGACCTTTAAATCTGCCTGTTTGACTGAGGGGAAATAGCTTATTTTAACATGATTTTTCTCAGAATGCTTATATTAAGTAAAAAGTTAATTACATAGATACGACAAAGTATAGTTCTAAGTTAGGGTTTCTCCACCTCAGCACTTTTGATATTTCGAGCCAGATAATTATTTGTGGTGAGGAGCTGTCCTGTACATTGGAAGCTGTTTAACAGCATCCCTGGCTTCTGTAGCACCCTGCCAAAGTGACAAGCCAAAGTGTTTCCATTCATTGTCAGATATCCTCCAGGGGGTCTGCAGTTGAAAACTACTGGTCTGAGTGACTTGAATACTAACCTTGGCTCTGCTGTGTAACTTAAGACAAGTCACACACACTTTTTGGCCTTCATTTTTCCTGAGGGATTAAAGAGGTTGGATTTGATGACCATTAATGTCACTTCAGGATCTTTTAGTTTGTGAATCCTTCAACTGCATAGCACCCTTACTTTTATGAAGTCATTTTCTTGGCATTCCCAACCATTGGAACAATCTTAAGTATCAGGAATTAAATTCAAAAATCAAAATTAAATTCATGCACCAACAAATTATACTTTCATGTCTTTCTCTCTGAAGCAAAATAGATGTCTCAGTGAAGGTGCAGTAATACTCAAAGACTTTACTCAAAAAAGAACCCTTCAGGCCTTCTCTTAGAACCTGTCACATTTTATGTAAAAGCACAGTTTTAATCCTCTCAGTGTCTTAGTCTAAAACAGGTTAACAAATTTCTGTTTCCATAGAGTGTGTAAAAGCAGAAGTCAAAATTACAAAAATAATTTGAAGGAAAAAATAAAATTATAAAAACCAGATGCATATTAAAAATTCAGATTAGTAGTAAACTGAGGGAGGAAGATTCCTTGTGAAAGAGGCATAAAGGGGTTTTAAAGGTATTCATAATGTCTTATGTCTTAAAAGCTGTCAGTTATAGATATTCTTCTATATCTACATGGTATATTTTGTAATTTTAACAAGATATTTAAAAACTATGAAGCTCTAAGAACAGCAGTTTGCCACCATTAGGCATATATGCAAAGAACTCTTCATATATTGGTAATATTTTAAGTTATTACTAAATTTTAGCACAGTACAGTAATTGGTACTCATTAAGAAAATATCAATATTTACAAAACAGACATAGAAAACAAACTTATGATTAACAAACTGTTTCATGGGAGTGAGGGAGGGATAAATTAGGAGTCTGGGTTTAGCAGATACAAACTACTACATATAAAATAGATAAACAACAAGGTCCTACTATATACACAGGGAACTATATTCAATATCCTGTAATAAACCATAATGGAAAAGAATATGAAAAAGAATATATATGTGTATATATATATAAACTGAATCACTTTGCTGTACACCAGAATCTAACAACGTTGTAAATCAACTATACTTCAAAAAAATTTTTTTAATTTTTTTTATTGAGTTATAGTCATTTTACAATGTTGTGTCAAATTCCAGTGTAGAGCACAATTTTTCAGTTATATATAAACATACATATATTCATTGTCACATTTTTTTCCACTGTGAGCTACCACAAGATCTTGTATATATTTCCCTGTGCTATACAGTATAATCTTGTTTATCTATTCTGCATATGCCTGTCAGTATCTACAAATTTTGAACTCCCAGTCTGTCCCTTCCCACCCACTCCTAAAAATTTTTTTAAAGAAAAAAAAAAGCTAAGATATATTAAGTTATATCACTTCCTAAAGGGAAATATGCATTATACTTCAAAATTTTTTAATCAGAAATTATTAAAATTAAATACTTCAGAATTTATGGTATATAGGGGTAATCTCAAGCTATCTGAAAATTTCACTAATAAATGATTTCTCAGGTAAAATAAATATTATTCCACATGGGTTTGATTTCTGTCCTTTGCCATGGACCATGCCTTTTGTCTTTACCACTATAGCCCTAGCCCAGCATAGTCACTGAAGGATGTTTAAAATACCAGCTCTAATCTGGTTGTTTAGGCATGTAATAATACAGGTTTTAGTGTATTTATACAAATACACAAGGAGAAATTAACCAAAATCATACACACACATGAAAGATTCTTACCAGGAATGTACTCAGTCCTAACACTTTTGGCTCTGAGAAGACTAAAAGCACATGTGTGAAATTAATGAGGATGTAAAAGGTTTTTGCAGATGGTAGGGATTAGGTCTTACATACTGAGTGAGAGATCTAGGACTCTCTTAGAGGAAACTCAGACCAATTAATACCAAGAATTTTTTGCTTTCTCCTTTTATTTCTGATTTTGCTTTATTTTATCTTTGTACACTTTTTAAAGGTTACTTTCCATTTACAGTTATTACAAAACATTGGCTATATTCCCTGTGTTGTACAAAACATTTTTGAGCCTATCTTGCACCCAATAATTTGTACCCCCAACTCCCCCATCCCTGTATTGCCTCTCCCCCATTATCTCCTTTTCGTCATTTCTTTTTCCTTTTCCCTAGTTCATTGCTTACAAGATGGAACTCATTTCTTATTATGGAAGAAAGCTTTGTTTTTGCTATTTAAACTTTTCATTAAAAGTATTCTACTCCTATTGTCTTAAAAAAGTTGTACAACAAATAAAAGTAGCTTTTATTTTATATATACACTAAATTATTTTCTCCCTTGGAGTTAGTAATCCTTGCAAGGGAAGAGTTTTTACCGCTACTGAAATAGCAGAGTAGGAACATTAAACTGCTACTGCTGCCTTTGAGGTTTGTGTGTAAAATGACAAATCATAATTACTGGTGTGTATTTGAGGGTAAGCTTCCCCTAAGGAGGAAGCTTCATTAACTGTATGAATAATGAGCTTTGGTTGAGGGCTGCAGTGCTAATTGCAGAACCTACTTCTCTCTGTGGCTCTGTCCTGAGTTTTGAGGACTGATTAGTCTTGGCCTAATTTTTTTTTAATAGCAATCTTCATTATTTTACTTAAAAAACGTTTATCAAAAAACCTGGGAAGAAACTTGTGTGTGTGTTTGCTAAGAGATACAAGAAGGCTTGAATCAATGAAGAAACCTTTCCTAAATAGGAAATCTAAATAGCATAAACATGTCATGTCTTTCCAAAGGAATTAGTAATTATGGATCTAATGTATTCCTGTCCCTATAATAGTCCTTAATTATGCTCACTAGATTAATTCTCTATATTTTCAATTTTTTCCAGAGTTGTATTACTTTATTTATAATTGTTTCAGAATGTCCTAGAAAAATATATACATATTTACATATGTATATATTACAGAAGTATTGCCTTCAACTCCTCATGCACCAACAAATTATACTTTCATGTCTTTCTCTCTGAAGTAGATTAGTAAAATTGCATTGTAGTTAGCAGTACATTTATTCAAAATTTAGTCATGGGGTCAGAAGGCCTTGATTCTAGTTCTGGATTCCTGTACTATTAAGCAGTTCACTTAACCGCTCTGAATCTCGGTTTCTTCAAAATGGTCTTTACCCTGTTTATACTCTCTGAGGATCAAATGACCTATGTCTGAAAGTTCTTTGCTGACCATAAAACCCTATGTGAATATTAGGCATTATAGTTACTAGCTGTGATCTAGGGCCAGTTTAGTCTTAAGAGTCCTGTCTTGCTAAAGAGAATTTTTATTAATTCTGTAGCTCTTCAGATATTCAGTACAAATTAGATGCTGTGGTACTTTCAGTTTTTAGCTGTATCTTTCCAACTACTTTTGTGTAAGATAAAAACAACACACAATCTTTCTTAAATCATTTTATAAAGGTCACAAATATTTTTACTCATTTCCAGATATAAATATTTTCAACTCCTTTAGTAAATTGCATTGTTGTGATAACTATTTCATTTTATACACCGGCACACGTTTTTAATAGTGATCTAAAGTGACCTGTGCTTGTTTACTGCAATGATTTTAAGCAGCTTTATTTTACAGACTAAATATACTTATTTATGATGATGTGGCAGTGAACCAAAACTAAGAAAGACTAAGCCACTGGTAAGAAAAGCCCTGCCTCTGTAACCCTAGTAATGGAATTAATTCTCTACAACAAGTCTGAGCTTGTAAAAGCCATGGCCATCTTTTATTCATATTTATATTCTTAGCACTTAGAATGCTGCCTGGCATTCAGTAAATGTTTGGTGAACTAAACAAATGAAGCAGATTTAGTGACTCGTCACAACAGAAAATGCTCTTTCTTAAGGGTGCATTCTCATAGGATGATAACTAACTTTTTATTTAATACTTTGTGCCAGGCTTTGTGCAAGTCTTTGGCTTATGTTTTCTCAAGTAATGTTTATAGCAACTCTATGAAGTAGGTATTAATCTTTTTTTTTAACAAATGAGAAAACAGAAGTTGAGAGTGGGGAAGCAAGTTAATTAGTCACATAGCTAATAAATGATGATGCCAAGTCCAGATCTGTTAAACAGTTTTTTAAAAAGCCGTATTTTAAGCTCATCACTGCAGTATACTGATTCACAGTTTATCTTCCTGCCACAGAGAATTCACCTAGACATTTGAATCCATGTTATGCTAGGTGGTTTATTAAAGAGACTGGACTTTCTGATAGGACATGCTGGAACCTGGCTGGCATTACTCTGCCTAGCTTCCCAAAGCCCATAATTATAATAGGGTGAACATCTGTCCTGGTTTGCCTGTGACTCGGGTTTTCTGGGACACAGAACTGTAGTACTGAAACCAGGAAAATCTTGAACAAACCTGGAGAGTTGGTAAACCTATGTCTTACTTTAATTTTACCAGTTTAATCTCTGAGCTGGAGCAAATATGTGGAGAAGCTAAAGGTCATTGAATAAAGAAGATAATATAATAGCTTGATGCAAAGATTCTTTTAATTCTCTGTATGTTGCCAACTTTAAAACTCTCACAGTAAAACTAGGCTTATCTTGATTGGTCACTTCATAGAAAATACATTGTATGAAACAGTATCCTCTAGAGATCTGAAATCTTTACTTGAAAACTTATATAATATTAAAAAGTATTGTTCAGTAAATCCTGAAATACATGTGTTTCTTCTAGCAACTGCAGAAAAATATGACTTAGATATAGATTTCATTAGAAAGCTTTTAAATTTAGGCCCCTTGACCTGACTTTACTGTGATAAAACACTATAGTATCTGTCCTTAAGACTCTAAAACAAGTGTAAAAGCAGACATGTCATGTAGGCAATACACATAAATCATTTTACTTAAATGCTAACAATTGGGAGATCTAGATGAAGGGCAAATGGATATTCATTGTATTACTCTCCCAACTGTTGTGTAGGTATGAATTTTTTTAAGATAAAAAGTTGGGGGGAAATTAACTACTTTTAGAGAAGTAATGTAAGGATTATATGAAGATACTTATCTTGCTAAATGACCTTTGTGGTAGCAGGTAGAACAATGAGATAGATAGCCAGAAGTTACATATGTTTTTGGATCTTTATAATCAGAGCATATTTAACACATTGTACAAATATGTCTGTATATTACTACATACAAAGAAAGATCTTTATCAGTAAAATAAATGACAGGTTTTAAGAATTGTCTTACATTCACAAGGTTTTTGTTTGTTTTGGTTTGTTTTTAGTTAACATAAAGCTTTCACTTTAAATGAAAGATATATGAGTAAGAATGGTTAACCTCATTTTATGAAAGTTGTGAATTCTTTGAGGTAATAGTGGGTAAGTAGTAAAGCTGGTACCTTATCTGTGAAGTTCAAATGCGTTGCTCTTTCCCTGTACCTTAAGTTCTGATTCATTTTGACAGCATGATGATAACTTTTTTAAAGTTATGTACACAAACTATCTAAAAATACATTGAATACAAAATTCAATACCAGAAGAACACTACACATTTTTAATTTGTACCATTGAAAGTTGTTTTTCAGCCTAAGCAGGCAGGCTTATTAAATAAAATTGTAATAGACCAATTTTTAAACATAGACTTTATCATGTTTCAGATTTCTAATTAAGCTAACTTTTAAAAGCGTGTTTAAGAACAAGCAAAAACTAAAGCTGTAAAGCTTTTAGAAGAAAATAGAGAATAATGTCTTTGGCATAGGCAAGGATTTCTGAGACCACAGAAAGCAATAACCATTTAAAAAAGAAATGATAAAAATAAATTTAATCAAATTTAAAACATCTAGTCATGAAACTATTAAGAAAATGAATAGGCAAACCACAGATTGGGAGAAAATATTTGCAAAACATACGTATGACAAAAGACTTGTATCTGGACTATCTAAAGAGTACCTACCACTTAATGTTGAAAAGACAAAACACAATTTAAAATGGACTAAAACTTGAAAGGACTTTGCAAAGAAAGATATGTAAATGACCAGTAAGCACACAAAAAAGTGTTCAACATCATAAATCATCATGGAAATGCAGGTTAAGTCACAATGAGGTATCACTGATAACACCAAATGTTAGTGAGGATGTGGAGCAACCAGTGCTCTTACATTGCTTAGGTAACATGAGACATAAAAAGTAAAAATGGAACATCCACTTTGGAAAAATGATTTGGCAGATTTAATAGCTTTATTGAGATATAATTTACAAGTAATAAAATTTACCCATTTTAAGTGTGCAGTTCAGTGAGTTTTGGTAAATAGATATAGTCACAAAACTGCCTGCCTCTGCCCTAGGCAACCGCTGATCTGCTTTCTGTCAGTATTGTTTTGCCTTTTCTATAATTTCATGTAAATGAAATCATACATTATGTGATATTTTGTCTCTGACTTCTTTTACTTAGCAAATTATTTTTAAGATTATTGATGTTGCATTTTAAAATGGGCAAAAGATTTGAACCAACATTTCACAAAAGAACATAAATGAATGGCCAATATGCACATGAAAAGATGTTAAATATCACTAGTCATCAGAAAAATACAAATTAAAACCACAATGACATACCACTTTACACCCATCAGAATAATATAGTGTTGGCAACTGGAGCTCCACCACTACTTTTCTGGTGGGAATACAAAACAATACAGCTACTTTTGAAAACAGACTGGCAGTTGTTTCTTTTTTAAGTCAAACCTACATTTACCATGTAATTCTTCCACCCTACTCCAAGGTATTAAAAACATCAAGAATTTCACTGACATGATGCTGAGTGGGAAAAAAGTATGTATTATTCCATTTTTATGTGTTCTAGAATAAGCAAAATTAATTGTATTACTTTTCTACTGTTGCCATGACAAATTACCACAAACTTAGGGGCTTAAACAATACAAATTTATTATTTTATGCTTCTCTAGGTCAGAAGTCTAAATCTTGATCTTATTGAGCTAAAATTAAGATGCTGGCAGAGATGCATTCTTTTTTATAGGTTCTGAGTACAATGTATTTTCTTGCCTTTTTAAATTCTAGAGGCTGTCTGCAGTACTTGGTTCTTGGTCTGCTTCCTCCATCTTCAAACCAACATTGCATCACACTGACCTCCTCTTCTGTCCCCCTCTTCCACTTTTAAGAACCCTTGTTTGTGTGTGTGTGTGTTATATGATTTGTATTTTTTTAAACTTTTTTTAATTGAGTTATAGTCAGTTTACAATGTTTTGTCAACTTCCAGTGTAGAGCACAATTTTTCAGTTATACATGAACATACATATATTCATTATAGATAAACAAGATTACACCATATAGCACAGGGAAATATATACAAGAACCCTTGTGATTACACTGAGCTCATTCAGATAATTCAAGATAATCTCCCTATTTTAAGGTCCTCTGATTAGTAACCTTACTTCTGTCTGCAACCTTAATTCCCATTTGCAGTGTAAAGTAACATATTTACAACTTCCAGGAATTAGATCTTGGACATCTTTGAGAACCACTATTCTGCCTTCTGTACTAATTTCAGGTGAAAAAAATTAAAATGGTGGTTGCCTCTTAGGAACACATAGTCGCAGGGTGAAGAGACTTGACTGAGAAGGAATGTGTGGGGATTTTCTGACAAATTATAAATGTCCTGTATCATGATAGAGGTGTGTGTTACAAAGATATATTCATTTGTCAAAATTACAGCTGAGGTGTGTGTATTTCAAAGTATGTAAATTTTATCTTAAGAAAGAATACTGTTAAAAATAAAAACAATTGAGGGGGGTATGGGAAATGGCTGGAGGAGTGGATGAAATAAGAATGGTAGAATGTTGGTATTTTTGAAGCTTGGTTAATGAGTACATGGGAGTTCATTATACTATTCTATCTACTTTGTTTGAATTTGAAATTTTTCATATTAAAAAGTTAAAAGAATACTTACTTCATTCTAAATAGTTAAGAACCTAAATGCCATGAAAATGTTTATTAGTAAAATTGCATCTGATTTTTTTAATTTTTATTTTTATTTATTTTATTTAGTTCACATTAACAACTGAAGTTTCTTTTTTGCAGCCACGAAGAACTGTACTCAAGTCGCCCCTATGGAGCCCTTGATTCAGGTTTCAATAGTGTGGACAGTGGTGATAAGAGATGGTCAGGGAATGAAGTAAGTGGTTGTTCCATTCTGCATGTTATAACTTCTGATTAAGAGAAAATGATGAAAATGGAAAATGTCTTAATTGAATTCAATTTCTCATTATGTAAAATACAGAAAAGCCAAGGGAAGTTTAAAAAATCCCACATGGTCCTACCATACAAAGATAGTATTATGTTTCTTTACCATCTTTGTACCATGTATGTTTTACATGTTTGTTACCTCATTGTCTCATATAAATAGTTTTGTATACTGGGAAGTCCAGTGGGAACTGAACCAATTAATGAAGCCTGAAATTTGAGAAGAGGGACTGAAAGGTGAGAAAATAGAACTACGGGCTGATGGGTAATGAGATGGGAACCTTAGTGAAGAATCCACATGCTCAAGAAAAATAACTTTCTCAGCTAATTATATCATTTTCTCTTTTGTTTAATTTTTTAGTATTATGTTTTCTCTTTTAAAATGATTGAGGTATAGAATTTTAGGTATAAATTGGGTTAAATGATGAAGGTTTTATTAGTAAGACTGCTAACTTACCACTTATAACATTGTTTTATTGGAGTTCAAAGAAAATTAATTTTAGACTGCAGCCCATCTATCATTTGGAATTGCTTGTGTATTAATGTGTGGATGGGTATGTACATGACTGTGGCTGTATCAAATCAGATACATATATGTCGATACATTAAATTCATGTAAGTATGTATAGAGAGAGAGTCATATATACCCTTCTATTTCTTTTTGTTATTGTTGAAGTACAGTTAGTTATAATGTGTCAATTTCTGGTGTACAGCACAATGTCCCGGTCATGCACATATATTCGTTTTCATATTCTTTTTTGTTAACGGTTACTATGAGATATTGAACATAGTTCCCAGTGCTACATAGAAGAAACTCTTTTTAAATCAATTTTTATATGTAGTGGCTAACATTTGTAAATCTCAAACTCCCAAATTTATCCCTTCCCCCCTCTTTCTGCTGTATTTCTTCTTTTTTTTAGTTGTAGTAAAATACATATAATATAAAAGATACCGTTTTAGCCATTTTTAAGTGTGCAGTTCGGTGGCATTAAGTACATTCAAATTGTTGAATAATATGTTCATCTCCAGATGCATCTCTAAAACTTTTTTGCTATTTCTTCTTAAATATAAATTCTCATGAGTTTATAGCTATGTTTTTAAAACTATGTTGTCTAAAATTTGAAATAGAAATTTTAATGTTTCTGCTTTTTTTTAAGCCTACAGATGAATTTTCAGATCTGCCTCTTCGAGTAGCAGAAATTACTAAAGAACAAAGACTGCGAAGAGAAAGCCAGTACCAGGAGAATCGCAGCAGTTTAGTAGTAACAAATGGGGGAGGTAAACATAATTCCTGATAACAAGCAGTCTTTATAATTACTCTGACTTTTTAAGTGGCTTTTTCACATCCATTCCTTTTATTTGTGTATCTGTAGCTTCTTCAACTCTTCTTTTAAAGACCTCTCTCCCCTTCTCATGTGACTGGAAAAAAATTATTTCTTTTGGGATTAAATTTCAGTTTCTCTCTGTTTTCAGGCTTGCAGTTAAAATGTAGTGTTTTTCTCTTATGTTTTTTTTGGGAGGAAACTTTACTGAAGACAGTTTACCTGGAATAGATCTTTGTTAATCTTGATTTAACCATGATCTTTTGAAGCACTATTCTCCTTCTTAAAGATTCTCTTTGTGGTCATTATTTGACCTCTTCAGGAATTCAGTGCATTTCTTGATGTCTTCCTTTTCTTTGATCTGAAATTGTGCTTTTCAAGGGCATATGAATCAAAGTTTTCCTTATTCTGGTATTTTAAATTTTGTGATTTAAATTTTTAAAAAGTTTAATTTATAATTGTTTTTATAGTTCATTAACAAATAGAGCTCTTTCTCCTTTCTTGTGTTTCTGAGGCAGACTCTTGATTTTAGCATTCCACTCAGTATAGTTTTAGTGTGAATTACCAAATCCTAATGTTTAAATTTTAAGGGCCAGATATAAGGGAGTAATGACTTTGATTTTCTAGAAATCTATTATGTTATCTAAGAAGAGCTTTCATCTCTGAATGATGATATCAGTTAAGTGGTTTGCTATCTTGTTTCTTACCATCTTATGTTCTTTTCTTTACTCCTGTCACTTACCATTTCAGTAGTTTTCTTTTTGATCTTGCTTTCATATGAGATATCTTTCCCTTTGGTTCATTTCAGACTTAAAAGAACATGTAAATCTGTGCTATCTAGTATGGCAGCCACTTGCCACATGTAGCTGTTGAGCACTTGAAATGTGGCTTTTCTGAATTGAGATGTACTTTGAGTGTAAAATGCATATCAGATTTTGAAGCCTTTCTGTAAGAAAAATAATATAAAATACCAGTAATACTTTATATTGATTATATGTTATAATGATAATATTTTAGATACATTGAACAAAATAAAATCTATTATTAAAATTAATGTCACCTTTTCTTTTGACATTTTTATGTAGCAGCTAGATAATTTAAAATTACATACGTGGTTCACTTTTGTGGCTTGCATTCCATTTCTTTTGGACATTGCTGGTCTAGATATTATGAAAAAGTAATGTAGCTTTCTTGGATAATAGCTATAAATGAACCATTATTTAATCACACAAGTTGTAGCACACTGGAAAAAATTCATTTATGTACCTATTTATATAACTCCAGTAGCTGAAAACTCATTTTTATATCAGCTGCAGTTATGGGATTATTTAGAAATAATTGAATTGGAAAACTAAATTGAGAAATAGACTTCTTCAAATGTATGCACTATTTCCAGCAGCAGCAACTTTTAGACAATCTGTAGTAATGGCTTGGGGTTAACAAATTTCTGTAGAAAACATCTTAGTAGCAAGTTTTTCTTCCTACTGTGCCATTTTAACTGGCTTTTTAAAATAGTTATTTTTTAAACTTAAAAAAAAAAAGGAATATTCCCAAATGTATTTGAAGGAATAATGATGTGGCTATATCTTATTTATATGCCTCTCCTCAACCCTTGAGAAGCAAAAATTTCTCAAATGATTCCCTTCCATCTGCAAACTGTTACAAAATATCTGTAATACTGACTCTAGATGATAATTTTCTATATAGGAAAATTACAATTATGGGGAAAAGTAGCCAATATCTATTTCTTTATCACCAAGTCCACTTTTCTCATATTCTTTCAATTTTATTTTGAGCTGATTGTGTTAGGTTTTCTGCCTCCCAACTTGTTAAAGAGATATTTGATTAAGCCCCAAACCTAAAAAATGCAAAAAAAACCCAAAAAACAAAAAACCCCAAAAGAAAATATACCCTCTGATGTCCTTTCTTTGTCTTACAAACTCAAACTATCTTGTTTAAAATAGTCAAGAGCTATCCAAAGAAAAAAGAAATATTAGAGGTCTATATCCCAATAATTACCTTCAATTATTATGTTCTTTAGTGAATTAGGACTAAAATTTTTTCTGTAGCCTATATTTGTGGGTGGCCATGGACTAAATAATAAAGACTTATATAATTTAAACTTCTCATTCCTCCCACTGTAAGAATAGAAAATCTTAGGGGAAAGGAAATACTGCAGTTTGATGTCTTTTGTTGGCTACCTAATTTGAATGTTTTTTCCTTGTGTGTTTTTGTGTGTCATATGGACAGTGGAACATGATCTGGATCAGATTGACTACATTGACAGCTGTACTGCAGAGGAAGAAGAGGATGAGGTGAGACCACCCAAGGGCCTGGACTCAGACAGCCTTAGTTCACAGTTTATGGCCTATATTGAACAACGGCGGATCTCTCATGAGGTAGTACACACATTTAAGCCTAAATTTGTTGCTGTCCCCTAGTAAAAGCAGTTTATAACAGTGTAAATTTCTGTCCTATCAATGATACGTTGGTTAGACCTAATTATTTGTTTTATTATATTTAGTTCCAGTTTTATTAGTGAGTTTTTCAGATTTGTTTTTAAAATCAGACAATAGTCTCAGGCAGAGTTTAGGTTTATTTTTCAAATAAACAGATTTCAGAATTTTGAAGAAGGAATGAAAGGAGTCCTAAGTAAAATGCAAAGGAATATGATGCTTTTCATTGTTGTTCTGTTTGCTTTTTTTTATTGTTATTAACTGGTAAATCATAGTTTGATCTGTAATTAAGAATTGAAGCAAACTGCTAACTTTTAAAGCACATACAAACTTAACCATAGAATTTTATGATGAGCTTAATTATATTGATCCTTTAATACTAAATCACACAGAATGTAAATTGTTTGCCATTAAAATTCTTTGGTGTCTCTTATAGTGGAGCATTGAGTTGCCTTAGAAAACAAATGAGCATTCAGCCCACTGCAGAATATCTGCCAATTCTCCAAGGGTCTCAAGTAGAAATAGCATTCTTCAGTGTGTCTAGTCAGCATAATATAATGGCTCCACTTCAGTGTATGATGTTAATGTCTGGAGTCCGTCCCAGGCTCTGAGCAGGGGTTATTTGAGAAACACTTGGAGCCTTTTTGGGGAATAATGTATTTAGTCTTTTAGAAATAGCAAATAATCACTGAGAGTAGGATATGTTATAGAGTTATTATCATTCTTTAAAAAAAATCCCTTGGTTTTCTATCTGAACACAGTATTTTTTGTTGGGGGTTCAGAGACACTCTTGTATTTAAAGTTGGATAAAGTTATAATCAATAGTCCCCGCCTTGTATGCGGGGGATATGATCCAAGACTTCCAGTGGATGCCTAAAACCAGGCATGATACGGAGCCCTATATGTACTGTGTTTTTTCCTGTACATACATACCTGTGGTAGAGTTTAATTTGTAAGTTAGGCACAGTTATAGATTAAGAATAATAATAATAAAGTGGAACAATTATAACAATATATGATAATAAAAGCTATGTGAATATGGTCTCTCTTAAAATACCTTATTGTACAAATTTAATTCCTTTTCCATCTTAGCTAAGCATTTATCATACACTGTGCTGTAACTTTTGCAGTTTGAAATGTGACAGGAAAATTAGCATTTTTCCTTATTCACAATTTCATGAATAGAAGATTTTTTCTTATCATAGATCTTACCTCAGGATACATTTTTTTTCTTTCCCTATTAAGTCAAGAACTTTCATCTTCTCACTTAAAGGAAGCACTTTACGGCTTCTCTTCGGCATACTCAAATTGCCAATGTCACTACTCTTGCATCACTTGAACACAAGCACTACCATACCATGACAGTTGATCAGATAACTGAGACTAATCCATCTAGTGACTAAGAGACTAAAAGACGGGATACACTGGATAAAGGGATGATTCACATCCCAGGTGTCACGGAGCCGGCCAGCATGAGGTTTCATCACACTGCTCAGAATGATGTGCATAATAAACCTTTTGAATTGTTTATTTCTGACATTTTTCACTTAATATTTTCGGACCATGGTTGACTGTGGTTGACTGAAACCTCAAAAAATGAAACCAGCAGATAAAGTGGATTGCTGTAAATCAAAGTCCTGCAGCCTAGAGATAGCAGTGTGTACTAGTGATTAATGAAACTACTTGTGGTTCAGGCTATAAGCATTTCTGCTGGAGCAAAGGGCAACTACTTCTGCAGTAAAATTTATATCAACAATGCACAGTATAATCTTAAAGGGAATCCTTTTTCTTTTCTTGTGGTCTTTCTCTTTGACCACTTTATGGTTAATTAGGCTGTGTAGATGAAGTATTTCTACTAGAAGTGAAAATACTACTGGTGAAAAATTTTAAATGTATCTTTCTCCATTATACTGGGTATTTTGTAATATGTTTTTTTGATTCCATCTATGTGTTATGTATAGTAGTCTTTATGATTCTGTGTCTTAAGGCTCTTTATGACTTGTGTCAAGGCTGTCTTGGCATCTACAAAAATAAGATGAAGCAATATTTTATTTCTTTATTTGTTGTCAGGAACTTTGAGGCTCTGGATCTGTGTGTGTGTGTGTGTGTGTGTGTGTGTGTGTGTGTGTATACGTATACACACCCACACATATAATACATGTTTTAATTGAAGCATAGTTGCTGTACAATATTATATAAGCTACAGGTTTACAACATAGTGATTCACAATTTCTAAAGGTTATACTCCATTTATAGCAATTATAGAATATTGGCCATATTCCCTGTGCTGTACAGTATATCCTTGTAGCTTATTTTATACCTAATAGTTTGTACCTCTTACCCTCTGCCCCTATATTGATCCTACCTGCTTCTTTCTCCCCACTGGTAACCACTAGTTTGTTCTCTATATCTGTGGGTTGAAGCAATATTATTTTAAATGGTTTAATAACCAGTGAAAAAATGTTTTTTAATATTCTTGAATACTATCTAAACATAGTTGTTAAACTATTTGAGATTTTAAACACTCTGCTATTGTTTACTTTCATTATCATACCTCTTACATACATAGAAATATTGTGGTAAAATAGGGTATGGCATATTGACAGAATATGAAACATTTATTTTTAAAATTAAACCAATGTTACATTCATTTTGTTATGAAAATTTCACATACCTCTTGCAGTAGTTTTAGGTAATTGCACTATTGTAAAACCAGGGTGATAGGTTACTGATGTGAACATACCAGGAGAGATTTTTGTTTATTTAAAAAGTCACATTCACTGAAATTAGAATAATTATTCTCTCATCAAGATCCCAGAATTGTATCTCATTTAATATGATCCTTGTGCCCAGACCTTATGGGAGTCAGTTTTAGCCCTTTGGAATAACTCACCAGATTTTCTAGTTATGTGTGATGTACCTATTTCTTGGAGATAAATTACAAATAGTTTGACATTTGTTTCTTAGATTTTTTTTTGGATAAGTTGTTTTCTTTGTCTTCAAGAATACCCATTTTGATGATTATTTTGGGTGTTGAAATAACGATTGTATTGCTTCTCATTTGTATTCTTCTCATTGTACTGATTCTTATTTGACAAAATACATGGTGTGATAACCTATGAGCCTCTATCTTTGATTTATAATTTTATTTTTCAGTATATAGTTCATATAGCTTAAGCCAGTTTAATTTTCTTCAGTAATGTTTTTTGAAATGAACTTTTACTTTTCAGTTTATAAATAATTTGCCAATATTTCTCTTTTAATTAATACCGTATTTTACTGTAAATAGAAGTTACTTTTTGCCTTATCTTGATATTTATTACATCAACATCCTCAGGACTAATTATATGACTAATATAGGTAACAATTTATGATAATGAAGAAGTAAAGAAATGTAATCAGCCCAATGAACTTTCCCTATTACTAGAAATATTCAAGAGAGACTGAGCAAAAGTCAGGGTAAGGTTGGTAGGAATTCCTGTTCTAGATGAAAGTTTGTACTAAATGACCTCTAAGATCCTTTCCAACTTTAACCTCTTACCATTCAGTAAATATTACTGTATGGTCATTATAATTTACATAATACAGTAAGAAGGAAATCTACTTTTTAAAAAATGTTTTCTATTGTGAATGGTTCTGTGTTTATTACCAAAGCAGTAATATGGCCTATAATGCTTTTAAACATAAAAATTCACATCTGAAGATTCTGTTAAAATATTTTTAGCATAATATACAGATCCCTAAATGCCAAGGTGAATGTGAACTGTAATTACAGTTTTCTGAATATTTATGTTAAATTGATTCATTTTTCTTTTTTTGGCCTAGACATCACCAATCAAGCCAGTACCCATGAGGGAGTTTCAAAAAACAGAAGACATGAGAAGATACTTACATCAAAACAGGTTTGAAAACTCATTCTACTCATTTGTTTCTGTCTTAAAACTAGTAATAAAAGCGTGAAATGATGTTGCTTTGTGTAGATCTATATATAATAAAGATGTTTAGATACTGTGCGTTTTAAATACAATGTAAAAGAGCTAAGTGAGAAGTGCCTTTGTACTCATGTAATAGAAAAAGAAGTAAAATTGATTTATTAGATTCTAAATTCAGATCACCTAAATTACCTGTATAATTATCTGATTTGAAGGTACTTCATAGCAATGAGATTTTATGGTGATATGTTTGGATTTATGCATAAAGAGAGCTAAATGAATTTCAGGAGTCCTGAAATTTTTTTTTCCCTTAAACTTTCGATTAGATAACAGAGTGGTAGACAGAGACAGCAATCTATTTCTGATTCCTATCTCAAGTAAAGTGATCTTTTATCTACAGTTAGTGCCCTACAGAATATTTCTAAAATTAGCTTGACCATTTAGAGCACTGCTTCTTATTCTTGAATTCCAAAACATTTCTTGCCATACACAGTGTCACAATAGTTCAAAAATTCCCAGCCTTTGATTTTTTTTTTGCTTCCTCTCTGTTTTTATGAAGTCTTAAAGCTGTAGACTTGATATGCCTATTCTGAGACAACAGTAAATTTACTGTGTAGAAAATGTCATACATAATTCTTATACTTGACAGGATATTAAAGTTTTTGAGGAGACTAAGTTATAAGTGGATAAACAAAATGTGGGGAGAATAATGAAAGAAAGAAATCTCATAACTTGGCCTTCTTATAGTCTTATCAGTTAGTTCATGGTGATTCAGTTACATTTCATGTCTTTGAAATATATCTCAACATGGCTTTTTAGTTGCCATGTCTCCTTATACTGAAGGTGTGGTCATTTGAGATTCCAATTTCATATAGGGATTTCTTGTTACGTTTCCCCATATTCAGTGGACCTAGGCTTTAACTTTTGTTCCTCTTACCTCCTGCATCCATCATAAGTGAAGCTCAAGATCTCCAGGATATAGTACACACCCTCAAGGTGAAAGCCAGCTTTCCTTCTCAATTGCCTTATGTACTAATTTTCTAATGCTTGTGTAACAAATTACCACAAATTTAGCAGCTTAAAGTACCCCTCTTTATTGTAATACAGTTCTGTAGAATAGAAGCTTGGGTAGGCTTGCCTTCATCCTCCGCATAGGGCCTTGCAGAGCTCACTCTCTGCTGCCATATGGAAGCGTACTTCTGCTACTCAGCAAGCCCCATCACCCAGATGTAGTATCCAGGCTCCAAGCCTTGAAATTCTTGCTCTGCCAGCACTGGGGGAGTCTTCTCTTTTCTGAAACTGTGCCTTTCAGACCTAGGAATTTTCCATTTGTGTTTACAGTCACCTCCTATTAAGTGAAAGGCCTTGGATTCAAAATCAGTCATGACTAATTCTAAAATCCATGTTTTTAACCACTGTACTGTGTTTCTTCTCCCAGACTAGTACATGGTATTGAAATAACTCATCTCTCCTTTATTGGTTATATCCCAGTTAAAAGTCTTACCCTACCAACCCACTCTCCTCCTCTTTTCTTAAAAACTTTTGACTGAGGATGTACTGATTAGGAGTGCTAGGGTAAAGGTTAGTTAGCAAGGGTTAGTAGAAAGTTAAGGAAATTTTTCCCAGCTTTAATGCTGTTTTAAACCTCATATAGGAAGTTATTAAGTAATTTATTCTGTTTGTTTTAAAAATTATAAACCTAATTTATCCTGTCAAAAGTTTTTTTTTTATAATGTCTAGAAATTTTTTTAAAAAAGAATTTTGTAACTACTTCAAAGATTTGGAACCAAAATAAGAAAAAAATGTGGAGCAAAAGAGGACAATAGAATAGCTTAAGTTTTTATTTTCTTACATTTTTAAAATTCAGGAAAGTATAAGGTAGACCTTATACAACCGTATATAATAGGAAGTAGTACTACTTCTCAGGGGATATTTGAAAAATGTGTGTTGTGGGACTTGGTTGCCAAAATGACTACAGATGTTACTGGCAGGCATTAAGGTTAAACTACCTATAATGTTCAAGTACCACAAAAAAATTATCTGAAGTGTCAGTGACGCTTCCATTGAGAAACATATTCATGGATGAAAAGGTCATGCAACATGAAGTAACATGGCAACACAAGGAGTAACAAAGCTGTAATGGGTCAACATTACTGCTTGTTGATTGGCCGGGGGGAACTGTCAGTTCTCAAATTTCTCTTGACTAGCACTTTTATTTTCTCATATGCCATGCATCCCTCTTTGCTTCCATCTTTAACTTTTCACAGTTTATAGTTTTTGCCATCTCTTTTTGCATGTATACCCATATGCTTTTAAATCTCTGTGCTCTCCCTTTCTCCTTCCTAGATTCTGTGGCTGTAGAGTGGGGACATATAGAGCACTAAACTACAAGTAAAGTAGCTTGAATTCTAATCCAGGCTCTGCTAGTAAATATCAACTATCAGTTTACCTCTGAGGGCCTCAGTTTTCTCATTTGTAGAATTAGTGACTTGGACTCCATGATTTCTGAGGTCTCTTCCAGTTCCCAGTTGCATACCTAGTAGTTACAGAGTACAAATCAAATAGATAAGAATTCAGATCCAGCTCCAAAAGTTACTGGCTACATCAACTGGGGAAAGTTATTTAACGTCCATGCCTCAGCTTCTCAACTGCAGAATAAGGATTATAATTGTTCTTACTACCATAAGACTATTGTGAGGGGTAATTGAGAAATACTGTTAATATAAAGTACTTCACAGGGCATATGTATGTAGTATATGGTAATAGCTCAAGGAATATTAGTTTCTATATGCCTCTGAAAAATATTGTCCAAAAAAATGACACAAATCATAGTTGATAAATGCAAAACAAGTATTGATTATACGTGTACATCAAAGAAAAAAATAAGATTCTAAAAAGGACCCTTTCTAACAAGATCTCCATCGATTGGGTCTTTGGAAAAGGCTTGAAGTCAGGAATTAATATGTGATAATTGAAGAGATCTTGCTAGAGAAAAGATTCCATAGGGGGTGTGTTTATTAAATAGAGTGAGAGTCCTAAATGCCAGGTTAAAGAATTTGCATTATTATTATGTTAGATAATAAGAAACCACTGTAGCATTGGGGGATGTGTTTTTATTTCCCTGGTAACAGACTAAGTTAATGCATTTACATCAACCTGACAGGCTAATAATCATAGTTTAAAATTTCAGGTCCTAAATGTCAAAAAGTCATTGCTCCAATATTGTTAGTTTATGAGACACTAAATGAAGTTCAGGAAAAGGATAAGTACCAAAGTATAAGAATTAACACTGATAAAACTGAGAAGCTAGTTTTATTGTTAATTTTTTTTAAGCATCAAGTCAGGTTTCATTGTTTTTAATAAAAAAAAAACCCTTTACTTTTGTTATTAAAGTTGCTTCTTCAATTAAAAATGGGAATAAGGTTGCTTTACAAGTACAGTTACCAGGTTCTGTAGTTTTCCAGATTTTTGTTGATAAAATGGCTTTGTATATAAAATGACCTCCATTTACATGTATCTTGTTTCAGTCATAATAGTAAGGAAGATTATAGTTCCATGTGCTATAAAGAAATGATACTGTTTGAAAAGTGATCTCAGATAACTGTATTGTCAGCACTGGCTGACATAGACAGTGTTTAGCTGTCAGTAGCTTGATCAGTGATACCATCACATGAAATGTGAGTGGGAGACATCAGGTGTCCCTGTAGCTTAATTTAATGACTTGGGCTCAAGTTTACAAATGCAGTTGGTCTTTCAGTGCTGACCAGACAATTTGCCTACTGATTAATAGAAAACCATATTAACAATAAAATTTTACTTGTCTTTTATCTTTCTGTCTGTCTTATCAAAGAGTTCTTTCTTTCTTTTTTGGGTCAGGGTTCCAGTTGAGCCATCTCTCTTGTCACTATCACCAAGTCACAATCAGGTAAAAAAAGATTATTTTTTCAGTTTTAGTTTTATTTTTTTCTAAGATGGTTTTCTTCTTTTATAATACTTAAATTATGGTTAATTGCCAAATATCTATAAATTTCACTACCTGTCTCTTTGATTGTACAGTTAATATAATATGTGCACCTGGTACTTGCCAATAGTGTTTTTAGACACCAGACAGAAAATAAATACTCACCCACATGATGGCTTTAAACTTATAAGAACATAGTGCAAAGATGGGAAAAGATTAGCAACCACATCTGAAATAGTGCTAGGTGACTGCAAAGTAAATGTTGCTTGGGTTTGCAGTAGTTCTCCAAATTGATAAAGAATATTAATAAGTTGATCTTCATCCCTACTTGCGTGTACAAAATGATACTTTTGTTCCAGTTATCACATACAGACTTGGAACTTCAGCGGAGAAGAGAACAGTTAGTAGAACGAACTCGGAGAGAGGCACAGCTTGCTGCCCTACAGTATGAGGAGGAGAAAATAAGGACCAAGCAGATTCAGAGAGATGCTGTCATGGACTTTGTCAAGGTGAGTCATTTGGATTCATTGAATGACATTCCTAAAGTTTCTCAGAAGTGTGCTTTTGTCTTCTTAGGCTATCAGTTTTTATTGTTGTAATGAAAAAAAAGAGTTGACATTTTAATTATAAGAAATCTTGAGCAGCGTATAACTGTTTCCTACTTGTCACTAGGTTAATTGTCCTCATGCACATAGGCTTGAGGACAATCAGAAGTGATTGATCTTGCTTTTAGGACAGTGATACTCTCTTACCCTTAATTAGCTGTGTGTCATTAGACATTATCACCTTACTGTCCATCTGCGTTTCCTCAATCTTGAGTGCATGATTTAGGTGAAAGTGCTATGTAAACCGCAAAGTGCCCATGCAAATGTGAACTATTGTTATCAGAACCTGTCTCTGACTTCCTTACTCTAGTGAATACCAAAAATTTGCAGGGCTCACAGGCTTAATACTTTACAGCAATCTCTGAATCTTTGACTTTTCCTTTCTGTTCTCTCCACACCTACTTAGTTAACAACCCTCGTTAATACTTTTTTTTTTTAACATTTTGCAGCCTCTGTAGTTGCCCTAAACCGGATTTTCTTTTTCACCTGTATTATTTAAGTCTTTTGTTCTGAAATTACCTTGGATTATTTCTTTATAGTTAAATAATTATTTGTATTTTTGTTTGTTTAATATCTGTCTCTCTCATTTATCTGTAAACTCCATAAAGACAGGGACCGTATCTGTCTTGTTTATTCACTGCTGTATCCCTAGATCTCAAGATCATTGGTCTTAGCTAGTAGTAAAGCCCAATAAATACTTTTTAAATAAATAATTAAACAAATAAATCACTCAGCCTCTAAATACTTTCTCTCTGTGTTTCATAACTCTAGCCAAAGTGTATCTTCTTTAAGTACCATACACATGATAAATTCTCTTATTTTTTTCAAATATATCAAGCCCATGATGATGATCTCTGATGCTCAGAGAGGGTAACAGTTTGCCTCAGGTTAAATACTCGGCTAGTAAGTGGCAGAGCAAAGATTCTAATCAAGACCAGCTTAACAGAAAATGGAAACAGAACTGATGGAAAATAAACAGTTTCTTTTTTTTAAAGTCTAGGTGGTAACTAGACTTATCATGGTGATCATTTGTAATGTATAGAAGTATCAATTCACTGTATTGTGCACCAGGGACTAACATAGTGTTTTAGGTCAATTATTTGTCATAAACAAACAGACAAACTAATAGGAAAAAAGAAGTCAGATTTGTGGTTACAAGAGGCAGGGCGTGGGAAGGGGAAGTGGATGAAGGTGGTCAAAAGGTACACATTTCCAGTTACAAGATAGATAAGAACTAGGGATGTAATATACAACATGTATGTTAGATATAAAAGTTGTTAAGAGAGTAAATCCTGAGTTCTCATCATCTCATCATTTTTTTCTTTTTCTTTTATTTTGTATCTATATGAGATGGTGGATATTTACTAAACTTATTGCAGTAATCATTTCATGATTTACATAAGTCAAATCATTATTCTGTATACCTGAAATTTATGCCATGCTGTATGTCAATTATATCTCAATAAAACTGGAAAGGGGAGGGAGAAAAAAAAGGACAGGCTGGCCCCAAACCCTGGTCTATGACCACAATGCTAAACTAACTCTCAGTAAACAATAGTGGCCAACACATACTGTCCTAAGTGATGTTCTACACATTTTACATAAATTAACTCATTTAGCTTGCCTTCTGTAGAAGTCATGTAACTAATAAGAGATAATTACATTGTAGATAGCATTGATTAAATGTCAAATTAAGGTTTGATCTTGATCAGTTAGGCAGAAGGGAATAGTTTTAAATTCTTAAGCAGGAGAAAAACATGAGAGGAAAGATACTTCAGAAAAACTAATCTATTCATGTTAGAGTATATTAGAAAGGAAGAGATAAGGAAAGAAGGAAAATGAAAAAGAGTAATTGCAGTAGTTAGACTAGGGTGCAAAATGAAGGCACATTAGATAATTTCTAAGGATTCTAAAGAAAGACAGTGTTTCCCAGTGGTAAGAGCTTAGAATCAAAAATACTTAAATTTGAATCCAGCTTTTCCACTGGGTATGTGCTTGACTTTTGTAAAGTTGGCGAACCATTCTGTACTTTTATTTTCCTCGTAATATTTAACTATCAAATACTGACTATTTCGGAACTATTATGGATGCACCTAGTACTTATACTAGTATGGTGTGTCCTGCACCCCCTACAACCACAAAGGATTTTATAAATTAACTATAAGAGATTTCAAGAGAAGCATTATTATGTCTTACACATAGATGTGTAGTGAATGTTGAATAAATCTTTGAAGTCGAGTAGAAAAAAAAAAAGAAGATTCCAAAGCAGAATTTTGAAGCTGAAAGTGTCATTTTAATGGGAGTTAGCTTTGTGGAAAGAATGTCCAATTTGGAGTCAGAAGACATAAATGCAAATTTCAGTTATGCTACTTAACTAATTTTGTGACCTTGCCCATATCTACAACCTCTCTATCCTCAGTTCTCTCATCTTTAAAAGAATATGATTGTGATGTTTGTTTATCTCACAGTGAGAAGAATCACTTGAGATACTCTTGCCTAAGAACACATTGTAAAACATTGACTGTACAGGTGTTACAATACTATTATTTGACATAATAACAGAAATTAGCAAATTGGGGGAAAGTGCCAGTTGTTATGGAAAATTGAGTTTGTTTTTGGTTATGCTGAACATGAGATTACAGTGGGATTTCCAAATAGAGAATTTCCATGGTAGTTTAAAATGCAAATCTGAAATTTGGCTGATAGGAGAGGACTAAGTTTTTAGCATTAGAGTGATATTTAAAGCCATTAGTGAAAGAGAGAATTTCATTGAGAGAATTTAGTGAGAGATCACTACTCCTTGAATTTGTTTGTATCCATGTACATATAAAAAATATGTTTTAAAAGTTTTCTATTTATAGATGCTTATAGACATAGGAAAATACTCTTTGTCAGCTTATTGCTTTCCCTCATTTAAATTATAAGCTATTTAAGGGAAAGGGCAACATCTTCTAACTAGTAAATCTAGAGAAGTGCTATACACAAGAGATACAGAAATTAATATGATTATTTTAATAAATAGAATTTTTCATTTCCAGTGTTCCAGATTCTAACCAACTTCCCTTTTTTGGGGGGTGGGGATTATATAGCAAAAAGCATCACAAAGTCCACAAAAACAACACTCTCCCTTAGATGGTGAGGTAAGTCTATATAATCACCTTTTCTTTGAAATTTTTTATTACTGCAATGAAAATGAAATCTTTCGCATGTGATTATCATATGTTGTCAGTGATAAAAATACTGCCATTTTCTTTTTTCCCTTCACAAAATTCTACTTAAAGACACAGACCAGGGAGTTTATCAGGATCTATAGATTGGGTGTTTTTTAATCTATACACATCCATTAGGAGATTATTTATTTTCCTCTTGCCATATCCCCTGCAGAGGTGTCATCTCCCTCATCCATTTCAAACCTACTATGTAATGAGAGATGGTCCTGAGAGCTGTATCTGGTACAGGTGAATGGTGTCAGTATTAAATAAAAAACTGCATAGTATTTGACCTTCAGTGCTCAGTTCCTAAATGTGTATATTATTGATTATACTTTATACACATTAGTTTTATAATATTAAGTAGTTCATTTTTATTACAAGCTAACATGTAAGATTAATTGCTTATTAACCTTTTAAGAATATGTTCACCTATTTTGATCTGTTAAAATGAAGCTTACTGAGTATTTTTATTGTAGTTGGCTTTTTCATTAGCTATTTTCCTTTATCTTTGCCTTCTCATTTTTGCAATTCATGATCATTACTTCCTTAAGAAGTGGATAAAGGCAGTATTTCCTGTGAGCATTGACTTTGCTTTTTGTAAAGTAAGTTATTTGAAAACCTAACATGCTGGGCTTTTGTAAAGCATCAGTCTTCAGCGCATTGTTTTTAAAGCACAAGTGTTTCTGGAGTGATAAAATATATTGTTTGAAATGTTTTAAATTAACCATTATAAAGCTTTTTAAAAACTCATTGGACATTTTATTTCTTTGAGAACTTACGTGTTGGTGTAATACCTGAAGAGTCACTAAAGCATTTTCAGTTGTCTTTTCTTCACATGGTAATAATTCTGTAAAAACTTTTGATGACCAAAGTTTGATAAGTTAATACACTCTTCCTTTTTCACTCCAACATTTCCTTCTTAACGGTTATTATGGAGTAATTCATTATCTAAAAACTAAAGCCCCTAGGAAAATAGTGTGTGCAGTTTTAAAATTTCCAGTTGTATCCTTGTTTTATCTGAGAAAGGTAACAAAGAGATGCCTAGAAATCAATATTCCTGTGTTTGTTTTAAATTTGTCCCTCGCTCACTAAATGACCACAAATTCTTTGTTATTGCTGCATCTATACTTCAGGTTTTTCTTCTCTGAGCAGAGGATAATCCCTGATCCCTCCTCACTTTAGAAAGATTTTAGGCAATAAGATTGTATTTGAAGTTGTTTAAGCTCTTTGGAAGAAAATTGTTACTCAGAAACAACTTATTAGCAATTGTGATGCATGAATTCCAGACGAATGTGAATGTGGTCCTGTATGTCAGCATCTTCACAAGTATGTCTTAATACGTCTCTTTTCTTGTGTATTTGTGAAATACACCCTGTGTGTGCAATTTGTTTTTGACATTGCTTCATTTTTCTCCACCTCTCCAGTGTCCCTTCCCATCCAGAAGGTCTCAGCACACTGATGATAGTGCCTTGTTAGTGGTAAGAGCCTTGCACAAAATGAAGTTTTACATTACTGTGTCTAGAGATTGGAGAGTAGCTATTGTACTTTACATTCAGAAATGATCTAAATACCATAAAACATGATGAGCATCATTACTAAATGCTTTACAAATACCTAGAACTGCCTCTGCCTTACTCTTCGTGTTTTACCTAGTGTTCTAGTGTTCTTTAGCTATGATTCAAATTATCTTTGTTAGTGTTTCCAAAAGTAAAATATTTGCATTGAGAACCACATTGGTTTTGTATGTGCGTTGGGACGAGCAGGCATAGTATATTAGTTTTTATAATGTTGTTTCTAATTACATGTGTACTTTATTAATCATTAAGTAGTCTCATAAGTCACCTGTATGATAAATGGATTCCCTTACTCCTTGATGCTAATTATACAACTGTCTATTTGGCATCCTATTTTATTACCTATTTTAAGAGACTGCAAATCCTAAACTTTTAAAAAATAACTTATATCTAAGATTATCCCTCCATACTCATTTTTTGTTTTAAACTCAGGGAAACATTAACTTGGAATGCTATCTACTGATCATTTTTAACATTGGTTTACTTTTATTGCCTGTTTCGTCAGCTGAAAATGAGTATGAGAGCTTTATATAAAGTCTTACTTTTATCAGCTTTGCCAGAGAATTCTAACCATTTATGTAATTGCTTTTCCCATCATGTTTTATGTTATTTTTTTCACCATAGTGTTGAAAACTAGCAGTTCAAAAGTCTATTGTTTGGAGCAATTCCTGTCTTTTGAGCTAGTAGCTGCCACCATTGTGCATACTACTGCATGAACTACGTATTTCAGCATGAGGTTCCTATTATGTAAACTATCTTGGTCAAAGTCTCTGTGTATTCTGCAGTGATCATTGCCTTTGAGACAGATAAAGCACATTTTAACTGGGCAGTCTTATAAAGAAATACAACCACCAGGCTCTGGAGTTTTAGTTGAAGTTAATTCGCATGAATAGCAAATAATAAATTAATGTAGAAAAATACTGAGAGCCTATGATAATCCAGATGCTTTGCCAGAATTATCTCATTCACTCTTCACAGCAACCTTAAGAATGTTAAATTTATCATCATTTTACAAAGGAGTACTGAGGCACAGAATGTCCAGAATGTGACTTGTCTGAAGTTGCATAGCCAGTAAGTACAAGGCTGGGTTCAAATCTGTATCTGGCTGACCTGAGAACCTGCATTAAACACCTTGCCATCTTGCCTTCTGTACTATATAATTGAAAACACTTTAGGGTACTGAAGATGAGATTTAATAACACATATAGTAAGTGATTTGTCTAAATGCTCACTTTTTTGTCAAGGAAAAAATAGAGTTTGGAAAAACAACACCCCCTTAGTTTGAAATTTGAAATAGCCTTCAGGCATTTTTAAAACACATACATTTGTATTTTATTTATTAGTATTCATATCTGACCTAAATTTAATGGCCTTTAAAAGCAAGGATTATTTCTCATATATATTTGCAGGCCAAATAGTGTCCAGCACTGCAAAAAGAGTCATATTTTAAATCATACTTCTGATCTCAGAACTACTCTTCAGTGCCTTTATATAGTAGAATAAAGTCCATATACTTCTTGACACAGCCCACAGCCCCTTAGATTACAGGCCTTAATGTGGCCTGTAAGCTCCTGTGTACTCTGGTTACTGTGTATCTCTCATCTCTGGGCTCATGCTATATCGGCATTTTTTCCAGCTCTTCAAATATGGTAAGCCTTTACACAGGGATGCTCACACATGAAAACAGCCCTTCAAGACCACAATAGATGATTGTTACTCCTAAATTCATAGAGTCACAGAAATATGAGTAAAAGAAACAGAGGAACCACTCCCAATTAAAAGAACAAGAGAAATCCTCTGAAAGAGCAAACAGTGAAGTAGACCTCTCCAGTCTACCAGATCTTGAGTTCAAAAAGGAGAGAAAAATGCTGAAGGAATTAAGAAAGGCTATTGATAGAAATGCAGAGTACTGTAAAAGGGAACTGGAAACTATAAAGAGGAGCCAGTTAAAATCAGAAAATTTATTTGCTGAAATGAAAGCTGAGCTAAAGGGTCCCAGAGGGATAAGAAAGAGATAGGGGGATTGAAAATGTATTTGAAGAAATTATGGCTGAAAACTTCCCAAACCTAAGGAAGGAAACATATGCAGGTACAGGAAGCACAGAGGGTCCCAAACAGACCTACACCAAGACATACTATAATTAAAATAGCCAAAGTTAAAGATAAAGAGAAGATTCTAAAGGCAGTAAGAGAAAAACAAAGAGTTAGTTACAAGGGAACCCCCATAAGGCTTATCAGCTGATTTCTCTACAGAAATGTTGCAAGCCAGAAGGGAGTGGCAAGATATATTCAAAGTCCTGAAAGAGAAAATTCTGCAGTCTTGGGTACTGTACCCTGCAAGGTTATCATTTAGAATAGAAAGAGAGATAAAGAAATTCTCAGACAAGCAAAAACTAAAAGAGTACAGAAATACTAAACCTATCCTAAAAGAAACACAGAAAGTTCTTCTCTAAATAGAAAAGAAGCAAGAATCTATTGAAAAGAGAAAATCACAATTGGAAATGTGATAAATACAATGAACAGCAAAAGAATAAAAATGAAGATGTAATAGAGGACATGTTTTCAGCATGGAAATTTTACAACATGTAAATTATGTATAAATGTATACTTGAAATGTAGCAACTTGCAACTAGCGACTTGATGCTCTTTTTTACAGTAATTATAGAGGCTAATAGAATACATGAAAATTGCATCCAAAAAAATAAAATACTTAGGAATAAATCTGACCAAGGAAGTAAAAGACTTATATGTGGAGAACTACAAAACATTGACTAAGGAAATTGAAGATGACTTAAAAGAAATGGAAAGATACCCCCATGCTCTTGGATTGGAAGAATCAGTATTGGTAAAATGCCCATACTACCCAAAGCACTCTACAGGTTTAATGCAGTCCCTATCAAATTACCCAGAACATTTTTCACAGAACTAGAAAAAAATAATCCTAAAATGTATATGGAATAATAAAAGACTTAGAATTGCTAAAGCAATACTGAAGAAAAAGAATGAAGCTGGAGGCACAACCCTTCCAGACTTCAGATAATACTATGAAGCTACAGCAATCAAAACAGTGTGGTAGTGGCACAAAAATAAACATATGGATCAATGGAACAGAATAGAGAGCCCAAGAATAAACTCACACACCTACAGTCAATTAATCTTTGACAAAGAAGGCAAGAATATAAAATGAGGAAAAGACAGTCTCTTCAGCTGTGGTGTTGGGATAGCTGGACAGCCACATTTAAATCAGTGAAGTTAGAACACACTCTCCCACCATACGCATAAATAAATTCAAAATGGCTTAAATTCTTAAACGTAAGACAGGACACCATAAATCTCCTAGAAGAAAACAGAAGCAAAACATTCTCTGACATAAATCATAGCAATGTTTTCCTAGATCAGTCTACCAAGGCAATAGAAATAAAAGCAAAAATAAAATGGGACCTAATCAAACTTACAAGCTTTTGCACAGCAAAGGAAACTATAAACAAAATGAAAAGACAACCTATGGGCTGGGAGAAAGTATTTGCCAATGATAAGACTGACAAGGGTTTAATTTCCAAAATATACAAACAGCTCATACAACTCAATAACAAAACAAACAACCCAATCGAAAAACAGGCAGAAGTTCTAAACAAACATTTCTCAATGAAGACATACAAATGGCCAATCGGCATGTGAAAAAATGCTCAGTATCGCTAATTATCAGAGAAATGTAAATTAAAACTACAATAAGATGTCATCTCACACCAGTCAGAATGGCCATCATTAAAAAGTCCACAAATGCTGGAGAGGGTGTAGAGAAAAGGGAACCCTCCTACACTGTTGATGGGAATGTAATTTGGTGCAGCCGTTAGGGAAAACAGTATGGAGATCCCTTAAAAAACTAAAAATGGAGTTATCATATGATCCAGCAGTCCCATTTCTGGGCATATATCTGGAGAAAACTCTTAATTCAAAAAGATACATGCACCCTGATGTTCATAGCAGCACTATTTACAGTAGCTAAGACATGGAAGCAACCTAAATGTCTATCCGCAAATGACTGGCTTAAGAAGGTGTAGAGTGTGTCTGTGTGTGTGTATACATATACATATACACACACATACATAATGGAATACTACTCAGCCATAAGGAAGAATGAAATAATGCCACTTGCAACAACATGGTTGGACCTAGAGATTATCATAGTAAGTGAAGTAAGTCAGAGTAAGACAAATATCATATGATATCACTTATATGTGGCACCAAAAAAATGACAAAAATGAACTTATAAAGCAGAAACAGACTCACAGACATAGGAAGGAAACTTATGGTTACCAAAGGGGAAAGGTGAGTGAGGGATAAATTAGGAATTTGGAATTTGCATATACTGACTACTATATATAAAATAAACAATGGGGAGGGTATAGCTCAGTGGTAGAGCACATGCTTAGCATGTACAAGGTCCTGGGTTCAATCCCTAGTACCTCCATTAAAAAAAAATGCATAAACAAGGTCCTACTATATAGCACAGGGAACTATATTCAGTAGCTTGTAATAACCTATAATGGAAAATAATATATATAGATAGATATTTAGGTATCTATCTATATATATATATATCTGAATCACTATGCTCTACACCAGAAACTAACACAACATTGTAAATCAACTATACTTCAATTAAAAAAAAAACAAACAAAAATAAAGCAAGCCCTTTCCCACAGAACCTTGCAGAAAAAGTTGCTTCCTCTGCATTGAATGCCTCTGCCTCCCTGCATATACCCCTTGGTTAATTCCTACTGATCAATCTGGTATTCACTAAATAGCACACCCTTAAGATAGCTTTTCTGTAATACTCCCACCCCCCAATCAAATTTATGTCTTTACTGGTTTTTTTTCTTCCAGTGTTTTATATGGGTGTTTATTGTTTTGTATCTCCCTTCGGATAGACTACCAGAGTATAAGCTTCATGGGCACAGGGATATTCTCTGTTGCATTTACCTATGTATACTCAGTCCCTGTCATAGTTCCTGGGATATATTAGGTGCTCAATAAATATTTCCTGACTGAACATGTAAATGCTACATATCTAATAATTACTCATTAAATTGTTTCATGATGAAAAGGTCTGATAATATAGCAAGTAAATGTTGAATTTAATGTAAAGACCTTCAAATATAGGATTTCAAGTACATGTTAATAATGTTTGATATCAGTTACACTAACATTCTCTTAGGGCTGCTCTTCAGACTTCTGTTGCTTTCATGTATGTCCCATCTGCGTCTGTATCCCATCTGTAGATAATGGAAAGGATCTAGTCTCATTTTACTTCCTCTTCCCTCCATTCCTTTTTTCCTTCTTTGCTGAGAAAGTGGCTTTTAGCCTTTTTATATTTGAGACTGACAGTAATTCAAGTCCATTTGGTTGTAAGGAGGCCCAGGAAATCTAAACATGTGAAGCATATATACTATATGACTGTTGTCACAGTCTTGTTTTTTGGTATATTTCTTTCTTCATTTTTTTCTGCCTCAATATAGATTTTACAGTGTGTGTTACATGCTTTTTTTTTTCTTTTTTTGCACACACAAAAAAGACATTGCTATCACATCATTAAAAATGCAGTTGTATTTATTTTATTGACCATCTTATTCCTCTTTTTCTAATCACCCACGTGTGTTCTTATTTATTTATCTCATGATTCAGTTATTGGTGATCCTAGTTTAAATTTTCAAAAATTATCTAACTTATAGAGGCTTAACTGTCTTTAAGACTTTGGCATTTTTAATAGGTACAATCTTACCCAAGCACCCTTTGTGAAAGCACTGTCTTCTCTAATTTCCACTCCCTACCAAATGAAAAAATTGTCATGTTTTAAAGCAGCTTTTATCTGTAATCAAAATTTTGTACAATAGGTTCTAACACTATCTCTAGTATATCTAACTAGTTGTATGTAGGTTGGTGAAAAGATAAAGAATTTAAAGAAAAGGAAAATTCTACTTACCTTCTTAGAGGTCATTTGGAGTTTCACAGAAACAGAAATGAAATGCTGGTTCATCCTTAAGGTGTAATGTGAAATCCTCATCTCCAGTTTTCTCACATCAGCCATTAAACTGAATTATAATAAATCTAATTTGGATTAATACTGAAAAAATATTGCTCTTATTCATGCCAGTTCTGTTCAGTTAAAATGAGCTCTTTGACTGGATTTGTTTCCCCTGGTATAGGGACAGCACAGGACTCATTTGTTTCTAAGGCTATTTTGCTAAAAAAAATTTTTGTGTTCTCAGTTTTATTTCCATATTAAATTATATTTAATAAATCATGCCTTTCATTTATTGATTAATATGTTATAACATATTGAAATAGTTTGAATTGAACAAGTGAAGAAACTGTTTTATAAGTTGTAGGGGCTTTTTTCCCCAAGTATCCTTTTCCTGCCCTGTCAATATCTTAGTAAACCATTTGAAAGTTTGTCAGTGCCATTTCCTTTTCTAATTTCACTGACCTGATCTGCCTGCCTGCCTGCCTGACATTTTGCTAACATAAATGCTGCCTTTTGTTACTTCTGTTTCTCTTTTGGAATTTAGTCACTCTCAGGGGTGAATCAAGTGAGCTGTGCTGCTACCCTGCCTCATTCTTCTGCCTTCAGACCTCTTAAGGTATATCTTGTTATTGTAATTTACCAGGAACTTTGGGGAGGGTATGTGCAGGGAAGGTCTTATATTTCCGGATGGATTGGTCTAACAGCAGTCTGAAATCTAGGGTTATATGAAATGAAACTAAGCTTATAAAACTATTTAACATTGAAATTTAACTTGAAATTTTTTTGGAAGTTTTATTATGCCAGAAACATAGAGCCTTCATTAATTCTTTATATTGAGATTCTGTTTGAAATGTCATTCTAATTTTCTTACAAAAGGTTTTTTTTTTTCATGAGTTATTGTTTTACTTTGGCTAATATATGATATCGAATTAACCCTGTCGTCTAATATGTATGCAAAATAATTTGAGTCCCAGTGCCCCAGACTCCCACTACCAAAAGGCTGTTACAGTAGGGCTCAGCAAACTATGATCCCTAGGCCCCCTGTTTTTATAAATAGTTTTTATGTATTGTCTGTTTGTTTATGTATTGTCTATTGCTGCTTTTGTGCTTAATGCAGAGTTGGAAAAGTTATGTTGGATATCATATGATCTTCAAGTCTAAATTAAAAACCTGTGGTATTTATTTTTTGAAGGCCTCTAGGGATGGTAATTCCATATTTATTATCATGTGATACATAAGCAATGATTAATAATCCTCACTGTCAGGGAAGATCCTCTCCTTGTCTAACTTGTATCTGTCCTCCTGGGTTTACACTTATTTCTTCTTTTCTTTCCAAAGTGGAGATTTTCTAGTTATTTAGCAGTTTTTATGTGGAGAGTTGTTATATTTGAAAGCTACTATGATGCTACCCTTGTCTTCTGGTCTCTGGTCCGTTTACGTTCTTTTCCCAGCCTGTTCCTCATTAGGAACTTTCGCAAGTTCTCTGCCCTCCATTTTGGCTCTTTGGTCCCCAACTATATATATCCCTCATTAGAGCCCCACATGGTGCTGAACATGAAACAAGGGTTATTCACATGTCTTATTCTGAGCATTAAGTTGGCTTTTTTCCATTTCAGCATTCATTTTGCTCAGTATCCACTGTAATTCTCAGATGTTTTAGTTATTCTCTTAAATGATAATTGATTTCTACATTTTGTATCTTTTGTTTTCCTAAATACTTACTTTTACTTTTTGAACATTTTTACTTTTCTAACTTAACCAGAATACTTTCAGATTCTTGCATCATGTCCTTCCAGATGCTGACCCCAGCTTTATAACATCTGTAAACCTGATGAACCTTTTTGCTGGTTAATATTAAATCTCCATGTACCTGGATGACTCCTGAAAAAACTTTATAATTCTCTTCTATATTAAGCCTTTGCTAGCCTTTCTCAACTACATTCCTTTTCTGAACAACACAGAAAATTGAGGGACTATTTTCAAAATTCTTTCCAGGAAGGTACATAACTTGTACCATTCTAGATATATAGGAGGAAAGTTAATTCATTACACTCAGTGGATACCTTAGGGCATTGGGACTTACTCTCCCCCAGAATTATAACTGAGTAAGGCCAAATCTGAATGTGCCAAAGTTATATAATAAATCTAACATTCTTTTGGTCTACCAGAGCTGCTCTATTGTCAAATGATTAGTTTAAAATGCTTACTGTTTACTTTGTGGTACTCAGTTACTTTATAGGAGGTATAGACTATATTTAGGCATGATTTTATTTCTTTTGTTGCTTAACCTGGAATAATCATTTTCTGTTTTTTCGCTCTTTAGTTCTCCAAGTCTTCTCAGATGTGCTGGTCAATGGCCTCAGTGATTTGAACTAATTATTTCAGTATCCTAGAATCTAAGTCATGTAGATTTATAGTTTCAATAAAAGTACATTTTAAAAATCATTTTACACATCCCTTCTAGTCTGGCTTTGTTTTTTTTATTACATCCAACTGTGTGTTATCTTTTAGACTTTCTGGAGGTAGAAAACATTTGCTGCCATTCAGTGGAATTTGTTTCAGCTCTTCCTTCTCATAGGAACTTTATCGTTTTTTTTTCCCTCAATATGTTAAAATTTCTAGTCTAACTCACACTAATAGGTCTTTTTAAATAAAAAAATTTTTTTTGCCTCTATAGCTGGAATTATCTCTACTTTTTACATTTTTCTGTTTGTACCGTTGGTCCTTGAACAGATCTTTGTTTAGCTAATTAGCTTTCTCCTTCCTATCTCATATTCCTTGAAAATAGGGATAGTCTTTTGTTTCCTTATAAAGATAGGCAGCTTTTGCCTCATTTGCCTATTCATTCCTTTCACTAGTTCCTGTTGCTTTTATTAAATTAAATTTGTTATTTAAATTTCCATTTCTTCTCAGCATCCTAAACTTTGTTTATTGGCACCTTTCAACTTGATGGGCATGTTTTTTTCACTGATGAAGACATAATACGTTGCTTCACTCAAGAGCACAGCTTACTTTTTAAGTCTTAATTCTCAGCCTAAGAATATCAAACCAAAAAATCATTACCACAGAATTTTCTTTCAGGTCAGTCCAAGAATTTTCTCAACAACATGGCTTCTGTTTATTCATTTATTTTAGCGAGAAAATTCTCTATCATCACTAATTTCATCTGACTCAACTCCAACTTGTGATGAAAGGTTCCTAAAAATATTGAAACCCAAAAGGGAGAAGAATCAAGGGGGTGTGTGTGTGTGTATGCGCGCGCGCGCGCGCGTGTGAGATTCTGTTAAAAAATGTGTCTTAGTTATAAAGTTATAATATATTGAAATTATCGAGTATAATTAGATATCAGGGCCTGAAAAATTGTTGGTATTCTAGCTTTTCTTGATTCTAGTCCCCTGCCAAGTCTTCAATATCTTTAACCCAACCAACCAACACTTCCTTTTAAATTAGTTTTATCTCCATTCTCCTTTTTTAGGTATACTTTATACCAGTTCAGCTAGTTCTTCCTCCTTTTTATAGTTCCTTCAAATACTAATCTGGAAATAAAACTATCATCTTTAAACATCTAACTGAAATGAAGAAACCTGTATCACTCTTTCTTCAAACATTAAATTTTATTCTTGGAGGGTGGAAGGTAATGCTTACAAAGTATGCCAGAAAAATAATATTATAAAACAAAATTTTATTCTTTCCTATACATCTCCTAATAAAATTTTCTGCCTTAGGATGATCATTTTTCATAGTCATAGGAAAGGCCTGCTATTTAATAGGACTGTCTTTAGAGAACGCATTACATAAATCTTGTATTCTCTAGAACTTAATAAAAAGTTTGGCCTTAAAAAATATTCAAAATTAATTTAATACACCAAATTCTCTTTTCTAGACTTAATTTTGAAGGAGAGTTGCATTTTTTTCTTTTATAATCCCCAAATTATCATAAATATGGAAAATACTTGAATAATAATTATTGACGTATCTCTGTGTCTCCACAGAATGATGACAGATCTAATGCCATATCAAGTTCACCTACAACAGAAACAGGTAATAGACAAAGGTGCAATTAACCACAAGATTATAATTCTTTACCAAGATTTTCCCAATAAGTTACTTCTTAGATGGCTGTGGCTTCCTTTTCTGAGATGAGAAGTCAGGCACAAAATTGGGAACTCTCTGCATATTTTTCATTTTTCAGTTCAACTGGTTGTTCAGCTACTCAGCCATTCAATATGAAAAAATGAGCTAGCAGGACTATAGATTTGCAAGAGAATATATATCATTGCAATGTTTAATTTGAGTATATATATTTTTATTTGCGATGTTTAACTTGATTTTTTTCTTTATTTGCTGTTTATTGAACTTTTGGCGCATATCTGTTATGTTTAATTTTTTTTCCATCTTCTTTAATCTTATTTCACTTTTCCATGCTGATTCAGTTCATCATTCCCCTGCATATTCTTTTCCTGCTGCTATCCAGAGAAACCAGCCCCAGCGCCCTGAAAGCTTCCTTTTCCGAGCAGCTGTCAGGGCAGAAACAAATAAAGGTAGGTGGTAGTGACTGAAGGGTTATGGGGAGGCTTTATACAGTGACGTTAACTGTTACATGCTTTTAAACGTCTTCCCTTAGATGTCACTTTGGCAAAAGTTTTAAACTCTGCATTTGTCTGTGATCTCACTGACATTAAAACAAGAGAATCTTAATCTGTTTGAATTTGTTTTAATTAGAAAGTTCCTTAGTACCAACTAAAAGCAGGTTAGAATGTTTGAACAAGTAGAATACTCTTTCAGGGCTTTAGAGAACGTTCATCTCTCTGTAATGAGCTCTTTTTCAGATTTTTCTGTTCGTAAAAGCTATTCTCTGTGTTCTTTAAAAAATGAATCAGTAATTAAAAAAAAAAAACCTTAGTCTCATGATTTATAGTTAATATGACAGATCTGTGACTGACCCACAAAGAAGTGACCTAGAAGTGGAAACAGACATTTCACACCCAAAATAACTGCTTTTAATGTAACTGATAGATCCACTCACAGTGAGATTTAAACTTAAACCAGAGACACACTGACGGTGGGATTGTAAATTATCATGGAAAACTGTTTACATAATCTGCTAATGCTGAACATTTGTATATCCTGTGACTAGCAATTTTGCTTTCTGAAATATGGACACATCTATACCAAAAGATATGTACGGAAATATTCACAGCAACATTATTCATAATAGCCCCAAACTAAATATCCGTCAACAATAGAATGGATAAATAATTTTGGTATATTTGTACAATGGGATACCAAATAAGCAATGAAAATGAACAAATTAATATACACAACAACATGGATAAGTCTTACAATGTTGATCAAAAGAAGCCAGACACAAAAACACACATATACTATACGATTTTATCTATAGAAAGTTCAAAAATGGACAAAACTAATCTATGGTGTTAAAAGTCAGGAAGTACATAGTTAGAACCTGTGGTATTAGAAATAACCTTTGGGTACTGATGGGTAGGGGAACATGAGAGGGGCTTCTGGGTGTTGGTAATGTTGCATTTATTGACTTGGTTGTGTCTACTTTGTGATAATTTATTGAGCTGTTTGCTTATGATTTGTGTAATTTTTTAGTATGTGATGTTTTTCAATAAAAACATTTTTAAATGGATGTAATCAGACACAAAAAGTAGTTGAGCCAAATGGCTAATGGATATTTGGTAGTTTTTCATACTATTCTCCCTATTATTGTGTATATTTGAAAATTTCCATAATAAAAACTTCTTTTTAAAAGTCAGTCCAAAAGTAGAAACTGCTATGGAAGGAAACTGATCAGGTGGAGCTGAGTATTTTTCCAGCACTGGCAGTTGCCTTTCTTACACATTAATATTTTTTAGGCCACGCTTCACCCCTTCTTTCATCTTCTGCACCTTCCACTGATTTGACAGATCCCATAACAAGACAGAATTCAAGACAGAGAGAAGAAGAGCTGGAATTAATAGATCAACTACGGAAAGTATGTACATTGCCTATGAATTACACTTTTTCAGTGATATTGCTATAGCTCATAATCCTACAATCACTTGTTCATTTGCCTTGTACTTTTTAATAGAATCAACGAGTGCCCATTGTGTGCAATGATGCCCATTATGTGATGAATTTTTTCAGCTGTTTACTAGGAAAATGAGATGGGTTATTCTTTGAATCTCAACCTCTGGCCCTACTCATTTAAAACTTTTTTCTGCCTTATGTTGTAAAGAAATCTTGTAAGAGTAATAATTTATATGTATGTACCTATATACATATGCATACCACACTTACAACATTTATAGGGATTTGGGGGGAGGTAATTAGGTATGTATGTGTGTGTTTATTTGTTTGTTTGTTTATATTTTAATGGAGGTACTTGGGATTGAATCCAGGACCTTATGCATGCTAGGCACACACTCTACCCCTGAGCTATACCCTACCCCCATAGTGTTTATTTTGAAATTGAAAGAGAGTCTAGTTGTTTTCGTAGTTTTTTTGATTGTTTGTTTTTAAAGTCAGAAAACTGTAAGTGGATTTCTGTTACTGTTCTTTGTAGCACTGTGGCTTGGCTGCCATACATACATATAAGATCTCCTTAAATTATTGGCTTAGGATAGAAAAGATAAAATAGAGATTGTGGTATTTAAGTTATTTGCTTTTTATCTTGATTTCTAATTAAATATATTCCATTTTAACTCCATTCTCTACATGTCAGCCACTCTACAATTAATATATTTCACGTTTTCCTGTTCTTTTAGCATATTGAATACCGGTTGAAAGTATCTCTGCCTTGTGATCTTGGAGCAGCTCTCACTGATGGTGTTGTTCTTTGCCATTTGGCCAATCATGTTCGTCCTCGATCTGTCCCAAGCATTCACGTTCCCTCACCAGCTGTAGTAAGTTTATAATGCTAAAAAAATGTTGGCTCTTCATCAGACATTTATTAAGTTCAGAAGCAGGCATTGTGCAGAATGCTGAGAATACAAATATGAACAGAGTCCAGCCCCTGCCTTCTGCATCTCAGTTCTACTAGAGAAAAAATAGTAGACTTACAGCTGTGTGTGATAAGTGTGATAAAATAGGTGTGTAAGAAGTGTGCTATGGGAATACAAAAAGGGACCACTTCAACTCTGCCCAGAAAGTTCAGGAAAGCCTCCAGAGGAAGTAAAATTTGAACTAATTCTTGAAGTATGAGTAGGAATTCGCCAGCAGTACCGAGAGGGAGAAAGGTATTCCAAGCATAGCCTTCCTAGATTAAAAAGCTAAAGAGGATGATGGCATATTCAGGGAATTCTTAAGTTGTTCAGAGTAGATCATTTACAAGGTGTTGGTGTAAATGGCAGAGGATGTAACTAGAGAGGTAAGCCAAGGGCCATGTGACAAGGGCCTCATGTACTATGTCAAGGAGATAGGAGTTTATCTTAGTGTAGACAATGAGGACTGAAAGAATTTGAGAGGAGTAGTATGATTATAATTGCAGTTTAGAATGTTGAATATTTTGGGGTGGAAGTGACATGACCAACCTCAGGTGGAAAATGAGGGAGAATATGCATTCAAGATGACTGGCAGGTTTTCTTTAGACTGCTGGTCAGACCTGAATGTCACAATCAGGATGGCAACCCACAAAAGAAAGAGCACGTTTTGGGTTGGCATAACTTTTTTTCCCTTCAAATTTTTAATAAGAGAGATTTCAAACCTTCAAAAAAAACTGAAAAAGTAATATAGGGTGTACTCTTAAAGCCTCTGCCTAGGTCTGACATGCATTATATCTTGCCATCTTGCTTTGTCTATATTTGTGTGGTGTGTGTGTGTATTTTAATTGTACCATTTAAAAGTTGCAGGTATCAAAAGAAAAAAATTGAAGGTATTATGACACTTTACCCCCTAAATATTTCAGAGAATTGTTGTAGGCCACCTTGCTCTTACAGCCTGAAGCCATGACTGCAAGTTGTAGGAACTGAGCCGCCTCCCTCAGGATTGGAGTGTGATATGATTGACTCTGAGTGCTCCCTGTGGGATCAGGATGAAAACTGAGGAGGGGACAGCTATGAGCCCTTAGCAGCCAGCAGGGACTAGGGATAGGAAGTGAGGATGGATGCCCAGGATAAGTAAAGGGACAATGGGTGAGGCATCAGTAGCATTCACAACTTATATTCAGATTTCCCCAACTGTTCCAAGAATATCTTTCATGGCTGCTCTCCTTTCTCTCCCCTCACCAGTAACCTACACACAGTGGAATATAATCAACATTCTTACATTGCATCGTTAGATTGTTGTGACACTTCTTCTTTATGAGTCTGAATGGATATTGTGCATTTGTAACATGCTTAGCAACGTCTAACCTTTTGAAGGGTTTTGCCCTCATCTCATTTTCTGGTCATTTGTTACGTAGCACATACATCCTGATACAAATCCTTTACTCAAATTGCAGTTATATCTATGTCTATAGATTGCAACTCTGGACATTCATCTGCTGCCTCTTCAGATGCAAATCATTTATTCCTCCCAAGGACCTTTTATTCTTCTATTTATTAAAAACTGCTTTGTTACCAAGGTCCCAAGAGGCTGATATGGCCCTTTCTCCTCCAGCACATCCAAACCACAGAGTCATACATTTGCTTCTAAGGAAAATAGGTAGCCACTTTTTATTTAGTCACCCCAGAAAATAGGCATTCAGTTTTGTATAGAAAAGGCAGGGAGGAATAGTAGCACTACCAAATCTACTATGCTCCCAAAGACTTGAAAGACTTGGTTATGGTCCTAAAGGTGGTGATTAAGAGAATAGAAATTGACATGCTATTTGGCAAAGCCAGTTAGGGAAAGGTTTATTCTTACTTTGCATTCTTCTTAGTTTCTGTCAACTGAGTTAAGAAAAAAAAAATTTTTTTTTTTTTTATTTTTTTACTTTTTTATTGATTCA